CCAGTCGGAGCAGAGAAGTAAGACGTTGAACCCCATTTCATTTGCAACAAAAAATTACTTTAAAAAAAGATATGGATCGTTTTGTTGGTATACCCATCTTCACTAGCCCAGTCAGAGCACAAAAGTAAGACTTTAAACTCCATTTCATTTCATTTGCAACAAAAAATTACTAATAAAACAAAAGATATGGATCATTTTGTTGGTGTAATTGTAAATCTAATTGTATATTGTTTCTAAATGACATTTAGAAGTAGAGGTATAATATTCATAATAATAATACAACTTTATGGATTGATACCTGCAACGTTTCAATACTTTTACAGGTATCTTTACATGTAAGAGTATTGAAACGTTGTATGTAATAAACCAAAAACTAGTAAATCCATAAAGTTATGTTATTATGAATAATGATTGTATATTGTTTATAAAATGGAGGCTAGATTTGTTATGAAGGAGGAAGTAACTCAATATCTTCATAGCGGAAAGAAAATCAGAAGACCACAAAAATGTTTTTATTGTATGATTCAAATCGTTGGTATAAAAACTGCAATTTTATATGAGGATGTTATAATTTATAAAGTTGTTTAACCAGCTAAAAAAACACACACGCTATGTGACATACGTAAAGACATGTTTGAAGATTATTATCAGTTGGTAGAAAATGTCATCAATAGTGTGTTTATATTCATAAAGAGCTGAACATTTCTTTTTGTAAATTAATCTGAAGACAAGTCAGAGTTATTGCAAGGTCATCATTACACACTTGATGCACAAGTCTAAATATTCAAGTTACATCTTATGTAAGATCAACAAGTGGATAGTACTGGACGTAAGAATGTAAAGTCATTTATGCGTGAAATAAATGTTTAACAACATGTTTATACATAACTTGTCCTTATAAGGTTTACTTGATGTTTGTGAAACAAGAAGGAAATAATATTGACGTAAGTTTATAAATGTATTTTATCATTATTACTTGTTAACGCTAATGTTAATTTATTCATATTGACAGTTTAAGCCGTCTTGTATATGTGTTGATAGTCATTACGTTATATATTACTACGTAAACACAGAAGTAAATTACGATACCTTTTGTCGCCATTACCTTTCGTCAGTTCTACGTATAGATTGACATAATAAATCTGTGTGTAAAAATACAGTTCTACTTACCTGAAGTACAACACGATGTCTTACCTTTCGTCAGTTCAGAATAGATTCAAACAATATTTAGATTCATGTATATTATATTAAATGACTGCATTTGCAATCTTTGCCTGTTATATTACCTATGGTGGGGGCTCACATTAACCTGACGAACTGCGAGGTCATTCTAATTGGATGCGTAGCTGCATACATCAACTCTCACAAACTTACAGTCAGGTAGCAGTACCTATTAGGTTTTTTAGTCAGGTGGTGATAGGTAGCAGTACCTGTACCTATTAGGTTTTTAGTCAGGCGATAATAAGGTAGTAGTAGGTTTTTAGCACCTTTATGTATGTCATGGTGGTTGATATAGAGGGTACCTGTATAGCTGTGATGTAGTCAGGTGTATTATATTTTAAGTTAAAGGATATAGAGAAGGAAAGGGTGGAGACTATGATATATTATATATACCACCTGTTCTATAATAATACATAGTTATATCACATATATATATATATACTACAAGTATATAAAATACCTCCACAAACTCACATGTATGATGTCATGGGTTAGGGTTAGGACCTACAGATTTCGTCCAAGTTTTGAGATGTAAACAGGGCTAGCGCTAACCCTTACCCTAACTCTGGACAAAGCCTAATCCTTACCCTAACCCTTACCCACAATCCACATATGACATCATATGTGCAGGACCGTCTCCAATCTACCGTTCTCCAAACTCAAACTTTATGTTATTAAAAGAAAAACATTGAACTACATCATCCGTGAGATCTAAGTGTTCTTTCATGGCTAGGGTGGGTAAGACGCTGGCTCGCTAGCCTGAAGATCGGGTGTTCGATCCCTGCATTGGCCAAGAAAGTTCATTGGGATTTTCTGGCGTGGTTTCCCCTTGTCAGTGGTGCAGAAAAGAGGGCCTGACAATGATAGCTGTCTAGTCATTCTGATGGTACGGAAAACTGAGGTCCCATGTACATTGACATGCTTGTAAAAGATTCCTTGGGCATTTGATATAAGACTGGCGTGGTTTCGAATCCCCGGTTGTACGTGACAAGGAGTAGGGTCGCCTGTCCGACCTTGTGGGTTTTCTCTGGGTCCTCCGGTTTCGTCCCACTGCTAAAAGAATCCTATGCGCAAGCGAATTATTGAAATAAAATTAAACCATGTGTTAGTCCCGAAATGACCTAGTTTATGTCGAGTGGACGTTAAACCCCATTTCTCTCTCTTTATGATTGTACATTATATTCTTCATTGGAACTAATCAACTCAAAATACTTGTAGTCCTATTTCTCTATGTTGATGTGAAGAGTAAATTTGAAGTGCTGCTTGACACATGTTGTTAGTATATAGAATATTATATTATGAGCTCTATTTTTAGCTGGTGAATAACCATTAAGCAGTTGAATAATTAAGAGCATTAGAAAAACGAAGATGGTGAAATTAGTGTAGTTAGGGGAAGACAACTCTCCATAGAAACATCTTTGAGTTGGCCTCTTCCTTTTCGTCTTTGGTATGGCAGTTTCTGTTGACGTTTTTAGGTGTTTATATTTCCGATATTTCTGCCAGGTTTTGGGGAATATCCCTGATTTTGGGGGCGAAAGGATCAGGAACTAAAAAAAACATTAATTGGAGTGATCGCCTACTAAAATGATGTCACTTCTTATAGATTCCTTTGAAATGGTCAACCCTGTTTAATATTTTGATCAGATGATTGTGACGTGTTGGGATATTTGTTGTTATATAGATTGGGATCATCGTAGGTTAACTAATTGTTAAAGGCTATGAAATGTCATGGATTTTTAACATTGGGAGTCAATGGGGAGAGAATTACTTGTCTGAATCCTGCGTAACACAGGGAGAGAATTACTGGTCTGAATCCTGCATAACACGGGGAGAGAATTATTGGTCTGAATCCTGCATAACACGGGGAGAGAATTACTGGTCTGAATCCTGCGTAACATGGGGAGAGAATAACTGGTCTGAATCCTGTGTAACATGAGGAGAGAATTATTGGTCTGAGTTGTATTGAACATGAACTAGGTTATCGTATAGCAGGTGTTTTTTTTTAAATTATCAGTTGATGTTGAATTAACATCAAAAATAGAATCAAGATGTTTCCATGATTAAATATGTAGCGATTTTATCTTTCTACCCATTTCTACAACTAGGTTACACAGGTTCAACACTTGCCAAAAGTCAAACATTACCAAATATAGATGGGGGGTTAGATGGGCGAATGGTTAGTGGGTGCGCACTGTATCATAATGTCTGTGATTGAGTCAACTGGTGTAGTTTCTATTCCCCGGTTGTACGTGACAAGGAGTAGGGTTGCCTGTCCAGCCTCGTGGGTTTTCTCCGGGTCCTCCGGTTTCCTGCCACTGTTAAAAACCTATGCGCAAGCAAATTATTGAAATAAAATTGAACCATGTGTTAGTCCCGAAATGACCTAGTTTGAGTCGAGTGGAGGTTAAACCCCATTTCTCTCTCTCCCAAATATAGATATCTTCTTAATCTTTCGGCAGAATTGATATCCATTTATGTTTATTTAAACTTTATGCCTCTTGCATTCTAAAATAAAAAAAAAAGCTACTAATTTTTTTGTTCAAAACTTTCACTTGATGCATTGCACGCATAACTGTAATATGCTGGCTTGCTAGCCAGGAGGTCGTAGGGTTGATTCTGTGTTGTCAGAGAAAGTTCATCGGGATTTCCCGACGTCATTTTCCGTTGTCAGTGGTGCAAGGTGGAGGGCCTGACAAGGAAGCTGTCTAGTCATTCAGATGGGATGAAAAATCGAGGTCCCTTGCACACATTGGCATGCACGTAAAAGGTTCTTTAACAGTTGGAATTCGATATAAGAGTAGGCCTTAGCGTCGCTGTCCTGGCAAAATTTCCTTCATAGCACACTGTATGGCGTTTGTCCATTATCATTAGCCCAATATAGGAGCAGAACAGTAGGACGTTAAACCCCATTTCATTCCATTTATATATATATATATATCCATTAATTTAATTGAGATTATCCAGATATTCCCCAGAGAGTATCTGTTGTCTAGACCAATACAATCATATTATAGACCTCGGTGTACTGGGTATTCAAGATGATGATCAACATGCACTGTCAATTATACACAAAACTGGAAAACTGCTACAGATAAACAAGACAAAACAGACAGTTCAGATTATATTCCTTATAGAGATTATATATAACATTCAGATCAAAATAGAAAAAATAACAAACAACATATTTAACAACTATTTTAACATTTTCTGTAAAATTTACGGCTCAAAAAACAATATACCATCATAAAACAAAACAACATATTTTAACATTTTCCGTATAATTAACAGCTCACATAACAATATACCATTCGATACGCTCATAAAATAAAACAATGATATGTTGTGAGCATAGCTAACAAATACTGTCACATGACTAATTTGAGGACCAATGAATGTGGCTGTAATCTGACATGTGGTATATTCTATTACAAGTGTATTTATTCATGATTTGGGAGCCATAGAGGTCTCGTGTTCGATCCTGTTTTTGGTCCGGGAAAGCTCAATGGGATTTTCCACCATGGTGGGTCTGGCAAGGACAGCTGTCTAGTTGTTTGGATGGGACGGAAAACCGGTCCCGTGTACATATTAAAGAAGCCTTGACAGTTGGAATTCGATATAAGAGTAGGCCGTAGTGCCGCTGTCCAGGCAAAATTTCCCTCATATGGCGTATGCCCGTATGCCCGTCTTCATTAGCCCAGTTCGGAGTAGAACAGTAGGACGTTAAACCTGATTTCATTATTTTATGTTATTGACGATTTGTTTTATTTGTATATTTTCAGCTGGACCTTTAGTTGCCTTGACCTTATTAGGTAAACCTCCACCAAATAGTTTTGATAAATCAGCAACAATAATAACACCGCAAGGGGTGGCGACATCTACTGGTAGTCTTGTCACGGCACCTCAACCTGTTAATGTAAGTACAACTTTTACTACCGTGAACACGCCGCGTATATAACACACGCATATGGCGCTTATATAGTTCAGTAATTAAAATGAAAGTACAAATCTCGCGAAACACGCGAAATTAAGAGATGTATACGTGCCGAATGCAATACGCCTGATATCCGAGAAAAGATTCTATTTTGATGACATATTGTCGGATTTATGATCATATTTTGAATGGGGTTTATGTCTTTATTTAAATAAATAAACACGCTATTTCCATTGGAATGACGTAAGTAGTTAATTGTTTTAGACGATAGCGCGTGTCATTTTTTTACCTTCCGTATATAAATCGAAACGGAGTATCAGACGAATGTCGGACTTTGCTGAAAAATGTACCGACGTGACCCGAAAAATACGGTAATTTTGGGGGAGTTTGAAACAGATCGGCAGCAGTCGGCACGCTGCCATTCTATAGTATTACGATGTCATGTAATTTTGTAGGAATATTATTGACATAAATTTGAATACCGTACGGGTTTTTAACATGAAATATAACGAGGTGCACCTATTTTATTTTACATATGAATTTGAATATATTTTGTTGACACGTGATTCTTAATTGTGTTTTGAAAACGTCTGCTTAAATTACGATAAGAGTTATGCCCCTTTATTTTCGGGAAAAAATGTCCAACAAGAAATTTTTTGAAATCCCATCACTGGTTGAGACGAACCCTAGTAGGTTTCAAGTCCAGCTCCCACTCATAAAGGATAACAACTTGTAGACTGTTAAGCTCAGTTCTCACCCGTAAAGGCTATCAACTTAAACACATTGGCGTGCACATAGAAAAACACAACAAATGTATACAAAAACTCTGTCTTTACAAAATGATTCCCCTCACATTAAACTAGCAGTCATTGAAATGAAAATAACCCATTTCTTGTTTCTCTATTCCAACTTGTTGTTGATAATCAGCTCATCTGATCTGCCTAACCTGGAGTCTTTTCTTTTAATTATCTCATCTTCCTTTCCACTGTTGAATAGAATCATGGAATAGTTATAATAAAAATAACTTTAACTGTTGCTGGTCCACATTTTAGCCACAGGAAGTTAGTAATCATAGTGACCTGTAATAGTAATAATGAAGTTAAACATCTATATGTCAGCTTTCACCCTATTTGTGATGACAAATGGTGATATATGACTGACACTATTCTAGGTGATAGGCAAATTAGTCATGGTTTTCATCTAGTCTGTGGTCTAAGGGGAGATAATATAAGGTGTTGGCAGAGTTGTCTCCCATTCACTCTATACAAGAGAAATATTTGTATTTTACAGCCTGAAAAAGATCGTGAATTATGGCAGCAGAAAGTACATACGACGAGGGCCATGTTTGATCAGGCTCTGGAAGATTATGAGGTAAGGAGTATACGAAGGGTTGGATGGCCGAATGATTAGCACGTGTGCATTGTATCATAAGGTCTGTCATTGGGTCAATTGGCATGGTTTCGATTCCATAGGCGACCTTCGGATGTAGACTATGGTTCGGACTACAGTCTGAACTATCCCGACCGTGCTCTTGTATGGTATGGCAAGAAAATTACACAGGAACATCACTGCCTGGGCTGAATTCCCTTGCACATGTAAACGCAGAATACAAATTTTTTTTACATTATTCCGAAAAAGAACCAAGTTATTGGGTTTGCGAGGCTCCATTGAATCCAAAGAACCCCGACAACCAAGGAGGAAATGCAAGATAATTGATATTAATGTACTATGTTCTATGGGTCCGTGACCTGAATACTTACGAAACTGTTTATTTATTTATTTATTTATTTATTTATTTGAATAATTGAAATAACAGCCTTTTTATCACCCAGAATATGATTTATTTTTTATAAACGTTATTTTATGAAGACTATGATTGGGAAACAGACAATGTATATATATAATCCCACTCCCCAATATAATTTACAGTATCATTATTAATGCATTTCTTAATTTTTATTTGATCAGAAACTACAGAAAAATTATATCAAAAATCCGACAGAAAAAATTCGAGCCCAGCTATTGGAAAAAGAACGAACAGTGAAGAAATTAGAAGAACAGTTAAAAACTATAACGGGTTCCACTGATTTATCTGTAAGATTTGACCACTTTCTATTCTTTCTCTTGGCTGAAATTTTGGTCGAAATGCAGCCGTTTGTCTTATAGAGCTATCAGAATTTTACAAGCTTGGTTTCAGTGTGCAAAGGATTAGGTCAATGGACTGTCAAGTCTTTTAGCTGCCGACAATAAAACAGCCGATTAAGATCCCTGTCTGAAACTAGAGGTCCACCATTCTACCTTTAAATAACTTGATAAATAGCTGGCGGAAATACCACTGTCAAGGCAAACTCTCCCTCCACCCAGATTGCAAATGTTGCCACGGAAAAACTAACCATGTCTCAGTCCAAAAGTGACAGAATAATTGAATTGACAGGACTTTGAACCACCGTCGTTTCCTTCATGGACTTAAGATATGATTTGGGGATCGTTACATTAGATTCTAAATTTTTCATTCTTCTTTTGCAGCCATCTCAATCATCCAGTATTTCTGATTCAGAAAAAAGTCCAATGGATCAGAATAGTAATACGTCCTGGGTAAGAAAGACTTCAGTCTTGTTTTTCCAGAGTGATTTATCACATGCAGTGTGTGACATTAATTGTTTGGATGTTTGTGTCTTGGTTTAGACCAGTTTATCCAGTGAACTACCTTTGTTCATCCAGAGATTATTAACAGTGTTCAACCAGAATTTTATTTTGAATCACAATATTTTTAAAATTCTGTCGATGGAATTCTTTTTTTTTTGGTAGTTGTTTTTTAATGATAATAATATATTAATTAAGAATAGATCGTTAAATAAATGTATAAATGAATATAAACATCATCCCCCATATATACCACATCAAAGCAAAATCAAACTGGGCTGTGACTTAATAGAGTTATCTGTCCTTTGGCTGTTTATTATCGGCAGGTTGGAAAACTTTCTTAACAATATTTGTCAAAAAGTTGCAGATCAATGTTCGCTCATTTGAAGTTAGAACCAGGGTTCGTTTCTGGTCAACGCTGGAAATATACATATGAAAACATATTGGTACAAAATGCTGTCAATTTTACTGAAGTTCTAAGTTAGATAACTCTGTTGACCTCAGCATCCAGAACTCATCTTCAAGATATATATCCTCATCCATACATAAGCTTATCATATATATACAGTAGTTATCCATCCGAGCGATAGTTGAATCACGTTGAAATAGCTGTATATACGTTAGGATTACGGTTAACTAGTTTATAGCTGGGTTAGCGAAATATACCACACTGCTTTCAGACAAAGATTCTTATTTTAATGTTCCAAGTTTCTAGGAAGAAAGAGATTTTGAGCAGGCTTAGAATTACTAGACATATTTAGCACCGTTCTGTATTGATTGTATCTTGTAGTCAGTTTGATATGGTTAATTCTATAATCAGTTAGTTGGGTGATAAATTGAAAGTAGAATGAGATCTATATTTAGATACCATATATCTCCCTATATCTTATGGTGAAGGTTCTTATATATACGGTCTGTTTTCTCTATATCTCCTATATACTTATTTGTTACACATTGTGCTACACTGTGATATTATATTATATTTACCGAATACACACACATTTGGTGCTTCACTGCTTTATAATATTATATTTACCAAATACACACACATTTGGTGCTTCACTGCTTCATAATATTATATTTACCAAATACACACACATTTGGTGCTTCACTGCTTCATAATATTATATTTACCGAATACACATACATTTGATGCTTCACTGCTTTATAATATTATATTTACCGAATACACATACATTTGGTGCTTCACTGCTTTATAATATTATATTTACCGAATACACATACATTTGATGCTTCACGGCCTTTGCTTAAAACCTATAGCTTTCAACAAAGCACTTAAATATTTAGCACAAGAATAAAATGTAAAAGATTGCTATTCGAAAGTGTGTACAGGCAAATTATTAAAGTATCTGGTAATTTCTATTTGGCTGTTGTATTTGGTATTCAGTTCCATACTTAAGAATAAACTGTGAAAATTTCATCTCTTAAACTTTGTTATTTTTGGAAATATCCACATTTAGATTGTAAACTGTGAAAATTTGACCCCTTAGAATTTATTAGTTTTCGAGATATTGACATTTAGGTGATAAATAACCCCAAAAGAGTCTCTTGAAGCTAGTAGAATACAAGCGTGACCAAAATTCTGATAATTAATTAGTAGTTAATAAACTGGATCCCATTATAAAAAACACCTTTTAAACCTGCTAAAACATCATACTATTTCCCAATATTTCAACTTGTCATTAAGTAAAGTCTGTTAAGATAGGTTTTGAATTCGACCGACATCAAGTCACTATTGCCTTCTACATCTATTAAAGCTTTCACAGATAATGACCCAATATTTTAATAATACTATCATTTAAAAAAGTAATACACAATCAGGTGGATTTATTTGACACATGAAAATATTTAACAATAATTGAACTGAAGATCACTTATTTAAAATTACACACGTATATTAGACAAAAACAGTTTTCTGAAAGGGAAAGAAGCAAAAAATAATAAAATCAATTAAGTTGGCTTTATGTATTATTTGTTTTGTCACTGTCGGTGTATGTTTAGTTTGCTTATATAATAGCCATCTTTTATTTCAGCTTTTAGATTAGATCCACGTTTATTTTATGTTTCGTAGTTGTCTATTATTTTTTGTTATTGTTAATATATTTTTATTTTCATAGATTCTATTTTATTGGAGTGTTTTTCAGTTAACTTTTTACACATTTAGACAGTTTATTATTTTTAATTGTCTTGAATTAGACGCCTTGAAAATCGCACAAATTAGAAAAAAAATAATGTAAAATTTTCTGGAGAATTCGTTAACTTCTTAATAATCGCTATATAAATTGTACAACTTGAAAATTGAAAGCGTATCTCAGCCGATGTCTTGTCTCAATTATTGTCAGTCCAGAACGTTCCTAATTGATAGATTACAATTGAGTGCCCTGGAATTCAGTCCTGTGACAGTTCTGTCAGTCCAGACAACTGAGGTGGTATGATAAGAATCGTGACGTATTTAAGTAATAAATATGTTTCGGTTGTCATGGTTAGTTGACATATTTTCTAATGAAAGAATTCAATTCCAGAACGTTCAATCGAGTATCCCCTTCATGTGATTGTTTGTACCGTTTATTTTTATGTCCAAATGTGATTGTAAAATGTTAACTACTATAACACTCGAACAACTTCGTGACAAAAATAAAGTTTCTGTCATAATGTATATTAAATTAAATCATCTCTATTATTGAAACTATGGAATTATAAAATTCATTTTTTATTTTTGGCTCAATTAATTACAAAATTAGTTAAAATGAAACTTTACTGTTGTCACAAAGTCCTTTGTCTTCTATGTAGAAGCTCATTAGATGATTAACCTTTAACCTGACCTTGACCTTTTTGTTCTATTTATGGTAACAGCGTCGTAATGCGGTTCGTCACAGTAAACAAGCCTCAGTTCCAGTCAGCCTTTATTCATCCAAATCCAATGACCTTGACACTAGAATGACATCTGTGTCGCGTTCAAAGTCTGATGTCACTTCACGGCGTCAGCCGTCATTTACATCGCATATAAGCGGCCTATCGGGATTCTCTCTCGGACCAAATTCTATATCACAGGTACCTATAACATAATCCAATCAATTATTTCTACTTTCACTTTTTGAAATTAAATGTAATAAAATAAAAAAAAATATTGAGAAATTACTAACAGGGGCATGAGGCATAGATTATTTCTGAGCGGGGACGTACGTTGTTTAGAAGTTAGGCAATTAATAGCTCTTGTTTCATTATATATAGAAGCTGTATTATTAATTAGCTTGTATCTTATTAATGCTAATGCATGTATTTTATTGTCTGGTTAATCAAGGCTTGTCTGTCTATACTCTCTACCTTCCAGTATATATATTTCTTTGTCTTGTGTGCAAAAATTACAGATTTTTTGTTCCAGTTAGAAAAGTAGAGATATCGTTTAAATTGAATTTGATTAGAATAAAACTGATATCGTTTGTAGGTAGTATTTGGTTCTCGTCAAAGGGGGTAGACAATAGCATAATTAGCCTCATCAACCATCATTATCATCATCGTTAATCATCTTTTAAACCTTGCATTGCTCGATTGTCATTTGGTCTGGTGTGTTTCTGGTTAGCAGGTATATCAGACAACAATAATCTACAGTCAGACTGGACTGGACATCAGAGAACAAAAACTTATGTCCAAGTCAAAATCAAAATTCTTCTTTTCCCACACGAAAAAATTATTTGTTGAAATGACTGAACAAGTTATTTCATGTAGATAGAAAAAAATCCAAATTGATGCCGAACAAAAAATTACATTAAATTTGACTGTCCTATAGTTTTCTTGTTCATAGACCGGGGGGTTGGATGGCCGAATGATTAGCACGTGCACGCTGTATCATAAGGTCTGTCATTGAATCAGCTAGCATGGTTTTGATTTCCCGGTTGAGTCAACTGACGTGGTTTCGATTCCCTGGTTTTACGTGACAAAGAGTAGGGTCGCCTGTCGTGGGTTCTCTCCGGGTACCCCGGTTTGCTCCTACTGCCAAAGACCCCTACGCTCAAACGAATTATTGAAATAAAATTGGACCATGTGTTCATCCCGAAATGACCTGGTTTGTGTCGAGTGGACGTTAAACCCCATCTCTCTCTCTCTCTGTTCATAGACCAATATTTAGAGCATGAAGTGCCATCAGACCTTCCCATCATACAATCATCACTACCCGAGTCCTCTATAGGAATGTAGTTTGTGTCTATAGCTGTAGAAGTAGTCTGTTTCTGTGTTTTTTTATAGAAATTATGTCATATAGACGTTTTGAAGACGAAACTTTTTGTTTTTTTATATTAAAACAGGGAGCGTTTTTTACTAAAAGAAGATCGTTAAAAAGGGTAATGAATTACTCCCCCTTATTACTATATCTCATCACCATGGTTACATATTACACTATCTTATATATTATTGTCGTTTATTTTGCCAGTTTTGTTTATGTTTTTGTTTAGTTGTTGTTTCTATAACTTGTATACATTTAATATCAGTATTTAATCCGTATATTTTCTTCAAAGGCAGTGTTCTAATAATAGTGTAAATGAAATAGATCTTTTTAAAAAAAAAACGCGTACGAATCGATGTTTCACAGATCAAGCATTTTATCCAATGAATATAATAAATTACCGTTATGTATGTAAAATAGTTCAAAGCATTTTATCCATTGAATATAATAAATTACTGTTATGTAGGTAAAATAGTTAAAATCCCACTATTCCTGACTAATGAGCTAATATAGACTTTGGGACAATACACGATAAAAGGTACGAAAATAATTCCAATCAATCAGTTCTACTAATATAAATTAGGCTACTTTCAATTTATTTAACATGTGAGGAGGATAATTTATTTCTATCCATGAACATTGAGTTCACATTGGCATCAGGAACAATTTATTGTTGCAAGGTAAATCTTGTTTAAAAAAAAATAACTTGAAAATATTTTAAGATAGATTTGTTATAAATGTACAAACACTAATATTTGAAATCTATCTAGTGGCTAGTAGCCCTCCTATATAACACTCAGTAAATTACTACCGGAGTAGTTAAATCACGTCTCGTCTCTGTATATTCGTTGCACATATATATCTATTAACCTAATTAATCCACACTAATCCACTAATCACGTTGTAAATACTATCACCATGCACATATAACACGTAATTGTCTGCGATATCACCTCGGTGGAAGCGGACGTTAAATAAAACTAACTCACACACACTACCGGAGTAGTTTCTTTCTTTCACGAACACTTCAGGCTTAAGTGGGAAAAGTTATAATTATCAGTTATAACAATACCTGGATAACATTCACTAGTTTTCTTGACTACAATATTACAATGAGGGTACTCGCACCGTTATCAAGCAATTTAGTTATAATTTTAAGGGGCTCATTTCATTTCCTGGTACGAGTATATCTTAAAGTTTGGTTTTCATCTGGTTATATGGATATACATATATACACATTATACACGTAGATTGCTTTCAGTTCTTTATTTAACGCTACAAGTTATTTTAGTTTTTTTGGTTGCTCACACAAAATATGAAACCAGGGGCGGTATATATTAAATGCTTTTTTAAGTTCAAATAGATATATTGAAAACTTATGTTAAAACCATTATGACTGTTTAACTCATTGCAACTGCAAATGTTCTATAAATGTCTTTAACATATTTTTATATTCTGTTATGAATTGTTTTATAATTCTGTTCAGTTTTTATGAAAGTTTTGTTACGTAATTTAACTCATTTTGAATTATTATGTTGAAGGAGTTTTCCAAGTTTGACTGCCAGTACCGAGCATGTGTTTGTTTTCAGCTGTTGTAAGATGTTGAATGTCGACGATTCATCTTTTCAATTATCACTATTACACATTTTTTTTGTCCCCCGCCTTTCGAAGAAAGCAGGGGACTATTAAAATGGGTTCGTCCGTCTGTCTGTCCGTCTGTCTGTCTGTCCGTCTGTCTGTCCGTCTGTCTGTCCGTCACACTTTTTGGGACACAATAACTCTCTTCCTAATTGAGCTAGAATGTTCAAACTTGGTGTATGTGTTTATTAGGTCAATGCCTTGATGGAGTTCGAAGATGAGCATTTTCCGCTTAGGGTAAGCAGAGATAAGCAATTTGATTGGTTGATGCTTTGGGACACGATAACTCTCTTCCTAATTGGGCTAGAATGTTCAAACTTGGTGTATGTGTTGATTAGGTCAATGCCTTGATGGAGTTCAAAGATGAGCATTTTCCGCTTAGGGTAAGCAGAGATAAGCAATTTGATTGGTTGATGCTTTGGGACACGATAACTTTTAATTGAGCTAGAATGTTCAAACTTGGTGTATGTGTTTATTAGGTCAATGCCTTGATGGAGTTCGAAGATGAGCATTTTCCGCTTAGGGTAAGCAGAGATAAGCAATTTGATTGGTTGATACTTTGGGGCACGATAACTCTCTTCCTAATTGAGCTAGAATGTTCAAACTTGGTGTATGTGTTGATTAGGTCAATGCCTTGATGGAGTTCGAAGATGAGCATTTTCCGCTTAGGGTAAGCAGAGATAAGCAATTTGATTGGTTGATGCTTTGGGACACGATAACTCTAGTTCTAATTAAGTGAGATTGATGAAACTTGGTGTATAGTTTCATTACATTTATACCTTGACTAAGTTTGATAATGAGCATTTTCTGCTCAGGGTAAGCAGCAATTTGATTGGTTGATACTTTGGGGCACGATAACTCTCTTCCTAATTGAGCTAGAATGTTCAAACTTGGTGTATGTGTTGATTAGGTCAATGCCTTGATGGAGTTCGAAGATGAGCATTTTCCGCTTAGGGTAAGCAGAGATAAGCAATTTGATTGGTTGATGCTTTGGGACACGATAACTTTAGTTCTAATTAAGTGAGATTGATGAAACTTGGTGTATAGTTTCATTACAGTAATACCTTGACTAAGTTTGATAATGAGAATTTTCTGCTTTCGGTAAGCATAGCGATACGCAATTTGATTGGTCGAGACTTTGGAAAACAATAACTCTCCTACTTTGATTGTTAGACTATAAGTAAAGATATACTGTTTGATTGTTCAATACTTTGTAAAAGATAATTTGTGATAAATTTATATGTGTCCTCTAATTATTTTCCTATTTCGGCGGGGGACATCAGCCTCACTGTTGGCTTGTTTTATAAGAATGATATAACTAAGTTACTAACAAGGCACATATTTTGTTAAAATAGCCGTTGGTTTTACATATTTTATAACACAGAAATTATTATTTTACATGGAGATAATGATTATATGTAACAGTCAGCAACTGGTCTAATTTCTGAAGAAAATATTGAATATATTTCACAAAACTTTGTTTCAATGTAAACATATGATAATAAATTGGGGAAACTATGATTATAAATCAGGGAAACTATGATGATCAATCGGGGAAACTATGATAACAAATCGGGGAAACTATGATGATTAATCGGGGAAACTATGATGATCAATCGAGGAAATTATGATAATAAATCGGAGAAACTATGATGATTAATTGGGGAAGTATGCTAATAAATTGGGGAAACTTTTTTTTAAGAAATTGGGAAAACTATGACAGTAAATAGGGAAAAGTATGACAATAAATTGGGAAAAGTATGACAATAAATCAGGAAAAGTATGAAAATATATCGGGGGGGGGGGGGGGGACTATGATAACAAATTGGGGAAACTATGATAATAAATTGGGGAAACTATTTTAATAAATGAAATAAATTCCTATCATAATTTCTACCAAATAAACCATCCACATTGCCATTAATATTGCCATGAAAATTCATAGATAATGATTACTATCATATAAATCTAGATTGCCGTTAATATTACCGTGAAAATCAATATTCAGTGTTTTGACTTCAGTGAAATCATCTTTATCGAATAGAAGTAAAAGCCATCTATATATAAGATTATATTATCATGTTTGTTTGTTTTAGACATCATCCCTACCTTCATCGTCAGTACCTCCGATCTCGGATGCTGGAAGTATGTCGGACTCACCACCAACGAGTCCTAGTATATCTCCGACACCGTCACATCCAAGCAACAGACGTGATATAGACGATAGCAGTTCTTCTAGTAAAGTGGATTCTGGTACAGAGGTAAATATTCTTTGTAGAACATCTGATACAACTTCTCTTCTGTGGATATCACATAGCTAACTATATCGGAGGTTGTGTAGCTGAGTGGGGTTAACCTAGGTTCCCAATAGGATTGTCCCTATTGATCCCACGATCTGCTACGTGCAGATACGTTTCGGATACGTTTCGATACAACTGACCTCCATATATGATAAGACCTGATAGGATCACCACGATTATTCCACGATCAAAACGATGATTTCAATTGCAGCACGAATCGTGATAGTGGGAACCTAGCATTAAGTGTGAGCTTTCAATTAATCTGTCATTGATTTAATTGTCCGGGGGTGGGTGTGGGGGGGTCGTCTGCCTGGCATCATCAGGTCAACAGCAATACTTCAATAAATCGCTGGATGGTATCTTTGATTGGCTGTTTTTCAGCACACAAGTAAGATCATAACACAGTGATAAAATGTGTCAAATGTTAATTAAAATTGAATTTCAAATATTGAATATAAACGAAAGATAATGAATTAATAATGTTTGCTGTTGAATGTTTTGCAGGATAGTACAAGTTTAACGCCCTATCAGATAAAGGATATTATTACTATAGATGATGAAGATATTAATTCGGAAGAGGAAATTGTAAGTTATATCAGTTGCCATGGTAACTGTCATCTACAATTAAATAAGGAAATAGGCATGTCAATAATAGTCATAGTGTATGATCTGGTTGCTTCTCCAGTGACCTAGATGCTAGTCAGTTGTAGATATTTAGATGAAATAAATGTTTTTTAAGGCTGGTAAAACTAAGAAAAGGCTTTCTGTGGTAGTAGGAAAGCCATTTTATTCTGAAGCAGTAGTTATGAGCTTTACATCCCATATAAGGGGTGAGGCTATCCGAAAAATGTGTTCTTAAATTCTAAAGTTATTGAATTGAAAATGGCACAAGTAGTTAGGAAATGTAATAAACAAATGAAACTAACATTAAAAAAAAAAATTTGTTGCTAGGATAACATATTGTTGGGGAAAAAGAATGAAAAATGTTGGTACACCATATCTCTGGCACTAATAAAGATAAATGTCTCATTTGAGGACTGCTTATTCTTTAATGATAACCCTAAAATCTGACAGAGTTTTTCTCTATAATTTTCATAGTTTCTCGGAAAACGGTGTTTGAAACATTTGCCTCACCACAATATTTTGTCTTTTGAGAAATGTTTTGATAACTTTTGAAATATTAATAATTCAAATTGCTTTCTGTCTAATTCAGGGGTAGATATTAGTTTATATATCCTGCAAATTTGATGAAGATATCTTAATTAGTTACAGAGATATAGTGAATTTACACTTTTCATAATTTTTCCCCAAAAAATGGGTTCCCCTGGCAACAACTTTTTTAAAAGTTACTTTTCCCTTCTTTACATTTCCTAACTACTTGTACCATTTTGAATTCAATAGCTTTACAATTTCAGAACAAAATTTTCCGGTAGCCTCCCCCCTTAACCATTGCTACCCGAGATAGTAGCCATGGTTGATTACTTTCAGTGATCTTCAAATTTCACTTGTCGACTAAACATATGTTTAGTTTATTGCTCTTAACCGATGCTTTGGGATTATGGGGCTAGCACGATGGTTCCCAGAGAAATATTTTGAAACTTTATTATTTAATGTAAATATTGTCCTTATGGTCGTTGTTGCATCTTGTTAAATCTTGTCAAAAATACTTTCTTCTTCAATTGTTTCCATGTCATTTAATGATTCAACTGAAAATTCACAAGACACATTTCTATGGAATACAATCATTGTTTATTACTGAACTCAATAAAAACTAGAGAAGCCTAATCAAAGTGCCGCTCAGTAATAAATAGTAAGACCTATACCTATTTATTAGTGAACTCAATTAAAGACTAGAGAAGTCTAGTCAAAATGCCGCTCAGTAAACAATAAGGCCGATATCTGTTAAATAAGCCTAGTCAAAATGTCGCTCAGTAAACAGTAAGGCCAATACCTGTTTAGTTCTTCACGATTTAAATCTATTTAAACTTTGAGCAAAAATAATTTAAAAACAAAGAGTAATTGTTGGCTTTTAGTAGTTTTGAAATTGGTTCACAGGACTGAAGAGGATATTTATTTATTGAGGCAATGAAGAACTGAAATTTAAACTGGGTTAATAATATTCCATAGAATTTTATCTTGAACTATCTTCTTCTGATATTCCATCTGTATGCAAGCCTTACTAGTAGTTATAGTAGTATATCAAACTATACCAGTAGTATATCAATCTACTAGTGTGAAATATATCTACAACACCCCTGGCATAAATATTGTCTATCGTTTCTTACAATTTACACAATCTTTTTTTCTTATCAAAATATTCCCTTTTCTTGTCTTTAACTTTCTCTTTTTTTATTCTTATGTTTTTTAATCTTTTTTTTTTATATATCTCCTATTTTACCACGATTTATATTGTATGGCACGTATTTCAGCTGGATGGTAAACCCTTGGGTCAAGGACCAATTTCACCTTACTTGAATAAATTACAGAAATCAGAGGTCAATACATAAAACAAATTTTATTTTTGATTCCATATTAATATTAATATAATCCACTTATTTATCACTGTCCAATTATTACATCACTTGGGTTTCTTACTCATATTACTCGGCTTTTGAAAAAAAACTTAATAATAAAAATGTTTGCAGTTTTTGTGAGCTTTGGGAAAAAGTCTTCTTGATTAATTTCTCTGTTGTTAACAAAAAAAACTTTTGAAATCTTCTTCTTGATTATTATATTTGGTTCTTTGTGAAACTGGGTCTTAAAACAATATTCTAATAACTTTCTAAAGGATCAATTTCCATTTTCAAATAATTCCTGCCATAATTCTTTAAACTTTCCTCTTGTAGATAATAATGATAATAATAATACGAAGTTGATATCAGATTAGTTTGTCGTAGATGTGTAATTATAAAAAGTTTGATGCGTTATTTGCATTTTCGTTAAAATATCGAATTATTCATGGCGTAATCCACACTAAATATATACTCAGATTGATAATTTAAACATACATTATGCAAGAGCTAAATCTGCCTATTGCAGGTCTTTCTTTAGGCCTAAAATGTTATATAAACTATTCATTTATTAACAAAATATTTATTTAAAAATGGGAAAGCGAGGCTAACTCTCGATTATACTAGTGCCCTGGTTACCATTATGCACACCACTTATCAAAACTACAAACAGTGATAACTTGGCCCAGAATGAAGTAATTTGAATGAGATTTTCAATATTTTCATTTTACATTATCTATTTTTGAGCTATTACAGCAAGAATGGTCAGCTCTTTATCTAAATCTTACATAATGTATCTTTAATGTTTAAATGAGAACAAAATCAAAATATCAAAGCTAGATTTCAATTTATTGTATCTTTTTAAATACTGAATGGAATTGAACCAAGGTTGCACTGATATTCCTATAACTAAACTTTCATAATATTGTAGTTTGGAAGAGATTTCTAAGCGCTAAATGATGGACCAAGCTTTTAATTTTGTTACATCCACTTCAACTTTATCAGAATAAGGATAGTAAACACTATAGGTCATTAAACTTAATTTTTGCTAATCCGCATTACGGAAAATATCCAATATTTCGAACAAAAATATGAATATATATAGTAGATAATCTCCTGAGTTTGGTTAAAAACAAAACCCAAAAACAGATTTTAGAAAACAAAATGTTGCAAAATTTTTAAATCATAATATCTTCTTTTTTTTTACATACTGATAGACTTAAACCATTTTTTCACTGATATGCCTTTTACAGATTTAACTTTCACACTAAGAAACAATATTTAAAAACATACGATTTCACCTTCAGATGTGAATAAATTACTTACACCTGAAAACAAAACGATAAACCAGAAGATCTATTGTACTATATATATCTCTTACCTGTTATAGAGAGCCACTGTGACTCAGTTAGTAAGACATTGGCTCGCTAACATGGAGGACCTGTTTTCGATCCCTGCGTTGACCTGGAAAGTTCATCAGATTATTCTGCCGTGGTTCCCCCTTGTCAGTGGTGCAGGACAGAGGGCCTGGCTGGGGACAGCTTAAGTCGTTTAGATCGTTGAAAAGTGATTACAGAGATGTTACCGTGTCGTCGGATGTAGTAACACTCTGCTCCGGGCTGAATGGTGCCTTTTACCCATTCTACTCCTCGTGTGCTATTTTATGTACCCATTCACACTAAATAGGAAATATTTTTAATACTTCAAACACTTATATTTTTTAAAATAATTTAAAATAATTTTTTAGAATTTTAATTCAGACGAAAAACAAGTTAATATTGAGAGCTAATTAACTCGCCCCGTGGTCGCAATAACACATAAACAAAGGACTTTGTGCTTGTGAATGATTTATATAAAGAAGTTGTAGTTGTAGATGTATCCCTGCACGACAGATAACTCTCCTTTTCTTCGTATATATAACCTGCATCTTTGTATGACAGATAACTCTCCTTTTCTTCGTATATATAACCTGCATCTTTGTATAACGTTTGTCAGTAACTTATCATCATTACACATGTTCAAAATGGCCGTTTATAATCTGGTGCCAAGAAGATCATATTGATCTGATTTTAAATTTCAGTGTCTATATTTGCGAAAATTATGATGCCAATAAAAAGTGTAGTATAAAGATTTACATCCAGGCCGATGTTGTACCCGATTTTAAGAAAGGCAAGTCATTGCCGAACTAAATGACAGGCACCAGAAGAATAGTGCCGGACTATATATACCTGACAATGTCTGTGACAGGTGTCTTGATTCCAGGCATATCTTTATCCAATTGTTAAACCGTTGATATTAATGATAAGTTTGTGACAGAGGTTATATAAAGATGATTAACCACAAACCAACACCTGTATTTACACCTGACTTCCACACAGCTTATTATAATTACCTGCATATAGGTAGAAATCACCTGTATATTATAATGACTTACCTGTATGTAGGTAAATCAGGCACCTGTTTATTATAACTACCTGTATATAGATAGAACACACCTGTATAACAAGGTACTCAATTCATACAACTTACAGCCTCGACTGTAGAAACCGACATACAGGTGAAAATACCTTATTGTCTCATTGTGTCGTTTAAAGTTTGTTGCATTTGCCATCGCATGATTTGGTATTATACTGTTTCTTACCAATGAAAAAGGAGAGATGTAAAATTGCATCGACCCAATTTGTTGGCGAGCTCACTATTGCATGGTTGAGGAGCTGGGGTGAGAGTTTTTTAGCATGTTTCTTTACAACGAAGGAGTATGGTGAATTCAATCTGATTAGAATACAGATCTATATTTCGTTTCGTTTTTTGATACTTTTGATGACCCACATTACATCAAGATCTGACCGGTTGTAGCGGAAGGTCGCGTCGGGTCATGTGAGTGGCTTTTGACCCTATGACGTCAGACTTTAATTAACCAATCAGTATTGATGTTTCTAACGGGATACCCCAAGAACTCGCCGTAACAGACCGTTTGATTGGTTAATCTTTCGCATCATCAAGAATGCAGGTTAAATTACATAACAACTCTTCCAGATCCTAGTGTATTAAAGACAAGTAAAACGAAATTTTGAACTATAAAAAAAACAAAAACGAAACGAAATAGGATCTGTGTTTTAATCAGATTGATGGTGAATTGTAAGCATGTCTCCCTACATCATCAGAAATATGGAGGCTAGGGAGCTGTAAGTAAAATATTAAATACAAGGTTTATTATCAGAAGAATACGGTTGTCATGGAAATTGTAATGTAGTTTTATATAGCTGTTGTTTCTTGGTATGAGCTTCAGTAACTATATAATATATTATTACAGGACGACCATCTGATAAATATACTAAAAGACAACGACTGGAACTTTTAATAGAAGAAACCATTATTTGAACTCTTACATAAAACTTGTCCACAAGTTCCAATGGCTGACTGTGGTCAATCATTTGGTTCTATCAACATACAGTTTTAGTTGATTATAATGAACTTGTATTGTTTTTTCTGCTGAAGGACTATTTAGTGTATCTGTAGTATAATGTTTATTTATTTTTAGGCTGGTGAAGCAGGTCCATTCTCGGATATTACAACACTAGAGAAAAAACCAGCACATCTAGGAATTTTTCTACATTATTTAATCTCTAATAGTGATCCGTCACCCGTGGTAAGTCTCGTACATAGATACATCTTTTGAAAAACAGGCGATATCGCTGAGAGATACTCACAAATCAAACATCTATTTGAATGTACACACAGTTGTTATTATAAAATTAAACACATTGGATAATAAAACAACATTCAAACATGCCACAACCTTTTCTTATATCTACATAGATCTAGTAAAAAGGGGGTGTGTGTGGATGACTGATTGGTTAGCGTGCGCGCGGTGTATCATAAAGTCTGTCATTGAGTCGACTGGTGTGGTTTCGAATCCCCGGTTGTACGTGACAAGAAGTAGAGTCGCCTGTCCAGTTTTACGGATACCACCCCTATCGCCTCATCTGTAATTGTATTAATTATGATATATTGTTGTATTTTTCAGTTTTTTTATATAATATCTGATATGTACAGTAATGCCCAGGGTAGTACTAAAGATATGAGGAAATGGGCGTATGAAATATATTCTACTTTTTTAGCACCTAATGCAGTAAGTTGAACATTTAGTTTCATGGCTTGTTTATTTAAATATATTTTCTGATGTACAAAACTTGTAGTTTATTACACCACCTTGATTAATGATGACGGGCAAACGTAATGCACTGAGGGCCTTAGTCACTGAGATACTGTAGCTCCGGAACTAATGAAACATTACCCACTGAGATACTGTGGCTCCGGAACTAATGAAACATTACCCACTGAGATACTGTGCTCTGGAACTAATGAAACATTACCCACTGAGATACTGTAGCTCCGGAACTAATGAAACATTACCCACTGAGATACTGTAGCTCCGGAACTAATAAAACATTACTCACTGAGATACTGTGGCTCTGGAACTAATGAAACATTACTCACTGAGATACTGTGGCTCCGGAACTAATGAAACATTACCTACTGAGATACTGTGGCTCCGGAACTAATGAAACATTACTCACTGAGATACTGTAGCTCTGGAACTAATGAAGCATTACCCACTGAGATACTGTGGCTCTGGAACTAATGAAACATTACTCACTGAGATACTGTGGCTCCGGAACTAATGAAACATTACCCACTGAGATACTGTGGCTCCGGAACTAATGAAACATTACCCACTGAGATACTGTGGCTCTGGAAATAATGAAACATTACCCACTGAGATACTGTGGCTCTGGAACTAATGAAACATTTGAGGTATAACGATTGTCGAGATCGTATGATATTCAGTTGGTGCATGTCTTGTCACCTGAAATTCCTGTGTTTACTCAACTCAGTTTCCTCAGTTCCGGAACATACTTAATGACCAAAACATTGTTGTCTACGTATATTGCAAGTGTATTTGATTAATAATATCATGTTTTATATTGTAGATGTTATCAGCTGGATTAGGTGATAGTGTAATTAATTCTATAGATAGTGCTCTTAAAACATCCGGTAATTCCGGTAAAACAACTAGTGACAAAGAACTACGTTATGTTTTCGATAACGCACGTCAAACTGTCACTAGTGTTATACAAGATTTGTTAGCAGACTTCAGACGACAAAAAGATTTAGGTTTGTATTTTCATAATTACATGTTAGTTCAATATTATTTAAAACATATTTATATTTTGATACAGATCAACCTTCTTATATGCTTATTATAGTTCACTTCCAGTGACAATGGGGGTGTGGTTGGATTGTCAAATGGTTACATCTGTCATTGAGTCAAGTGGCGGTGTTTCGATTCCCCGGTTGTACGTGACAAGGAGTAGGGTCGCATGTCTAGCTAAGTGGGTTTTCTCCGGGTCCTCCAGTTTCCTCCCACTGCTAAAGACCCCTACGGGCAAGCAAATTTTTTAAATAGAATTGAACCATGTTAGTTCCAAAATGACCTAGTTTGTGTCAAGTGAATGTTAAACCCCATTTCTCTCTCTCTCTCTCTCTCTCTCTCTCTCTCTCTCTCTCTCTCTCCAGTAACAATATTAGATAATGTGCCCATAGGACAATATCTTTACCCCCCTTTGCCTTTTCCATCCTGAATCGTCTGTTCTGTCTAGAATCTCAAACGGCTCAATTCATGTGAATATGACCATTTAACTACGACGCAGTTTCTAGCTATAAAACTCAATCACCTCTTATGTAACATTTACCAAATCCTAAAAGTATAAGCCAACATTACATGGAGAATTTTATTTGTTTTCTCCTAACCTCCAACAATTCAAAGTAGAGGAAACAGCAAAGAGTTATCTGTATTTGTTCTTGCGTACAACTTGACTGATCTGTGATTGCTTCTGTAATTGATGTATTTTTATATGGCAGGTCTGGGTAGTATTTATGGTTGTCATGAGTTGCTGGATGATATGGATAGAAATGCGGAGATGAAAATGATAGAAAAATATGTTATTCCTCACATGAATAGATTAACGTAAGTTTTTATCGTTTCTTTCCGATCGTCACCCATCTATCAATTGTCAATACTATCACTATCGGCTTAAACTTCAACCTGCAAGGGGAGCCACGGTGGCTAAGTGCGTAAAATGCTGGCTCGCTAGCCTGGAGGTCGCGTGTTCGATCCCTGCATTGCCCGAGAAAGTTCATCAGGATTTTCCGACATGGGTTCCCTTGTCAGTGTTACAAGACAGAAGGCCTGACAAGGACAACTGTCTAGTCATTCGGATGAGACAAAAAAAAACGGAGACCCTGTGTATACATTGTTGTGCAGGTAAAATATCCCTTAGCAGTTGGAATTCGATATAAGAGTAGGTCATAGTGCTGCTGCCTGGGCAAAATTTCCCTCATAGCACACTGTACGGCATATGCCCGTCTTCATTAGCTCAGACGGAGCAGAACAGTACATTTCATTTCAACCTGCAAACCTGTACAGATTGATGTATGTCCAGATCGTGCTAATGGTTTATTGAAGAAATACCTTGTTTAAATCCCTAAACAGTTCATATCAATTTTTGTTTTGTTTTTCTGATTAATATCACAATCAACATTAAAGCTGTGACGTAAAAACATGTGACCACAAGAGATCATATAGCGATTTTCAATCAGACCAGTCAGTTTAGTGTTAACTACAGTCAAACAACTTGATAGAAATGTGCTGTGCTTGATGCATGGTTAATAACTGTTTTGTTGTTTTTTTTAACAGGGAAGACAAAGCTAAGTCCGATCGTGATCAGGCGATGGGTTGGGCGTTAGCTAGTTTTTTACGTCAAGTTATAACTAGTAAATCACAACATTCTAATTCCTTAGAGAGAGTACAAAGTTTCGTCATGAAGGATAAACGAAGTTTGAAATTTCCAATCACTAAATCAAAAACAAAGGTTTGTTTTGTACTCATTTTTATCAGCTACATAATTTTGATTCAGTGCTACAAGTTCGTTGTTAGTGGGGGGGTTCCATAACAGTTGACCAAAACGTGTTTGTTTGTTTTGTACTCATTTTTATCAGCTACATAATTTTGATTCAGTGCTACACGTTCGTTGTTAGTAGGGGGGGTTCCATAACAGTTGACCAAAATGTGTTGATGTGTGCATTGTGGTTGATAAAGATCCACTGAATGACTGTACCTGAGGTGGTTTCCCTTTGTCAGTAATGCAGGATGGAGGGCCTGCCAAGGACAGCTGTCTAGTCGTTCGGATCGGACAAAAAAAAAAACGAGGTCCCATCTACACATTGGTGTGCATGTAAAAGAACCATTGACTGTTGGAATTCAGTATAAGAGTAGGTCGTAGCGCTGCAGTCCGGGCAAAAATTCCCGCATAGCACACTGTGTGGCGTATGCCCGTCTTCATTAGCCCAGTCGAAGCCGAACAGTAGGACATAAAACTCCATTTCATTTCATTTCATTTCATTGCCACAGTGGTTCCCTGAGTATGACGCTTGGTGCAATCCCTGTGTTGGCCGGTAAACTTCCTCAGGATTGGCAGTTTGATTCGAAAAGGATTTTAAACCTCATTTTATTCATTTCATTTCATTACTGTGATTTATTTTAAACATGCATTCCTCTATTTTTCAGACAATTAAAGGCCATCAGTTCAACCTACAGCATTATTACATGGTGACATTTTGTCAACATTGCGGTAGTTTAATATGGGGGGTTGGTTACCAAGGATACCAATGTAGTGGTAAGTTATTTTTGGGTAGATTGCCATCAAATTGGTCCACTGGTTGTGCTGAAAAGGACATCATTTTTGATCAAAGTCAAAATTTATTGGCATTCTTATCAAAGAATGTCTGTCACAGACTTTCATTTAAATTTCTGTCAATTATTTACATACTTTATTTTATGTCATATTAAAAAGCATTATCCTAAATCATTTGTATATTTTTATGTGTTTTACACAAGAAAACGTAACAGTATCAATTGTGTTTTAAGGGGGTTGGATGGCCGAATGGTTAGCATGTGCGCGCTGTATCATAAGGTCTGTCATTGAGTCAACTGGCGTGGTTTCGATTCCCTGGTTGTATGTGACAAGGAGTAGGGTTGCCTGGTGTCCAACCCCATGGGTTTTCTCTGAGTCCTCCGGTTTCTTCCCACTGCTAAAGACCCCTATGCGAATTACTGAAATAAAATTGAACCATGTGTTAGTCCCGAAATGACCTAGTTTGTGTCAAGTGGATGTCAACACCTCTCTCTCTCTGATTAAATATAAATTGACAAGTAAGTTCTCCAGCTGGTCAGTTTCACTGCCAAGACTGACAAATATTACCGAAGTGACAGTCGCACTTCATTCACGTCTCTTTAACCATCTTTTTAACCAAGAAGTGATATCAGATGTTATGCAGTGAGGATTTATCACGACAAAAATTATTAAAACCTGATTTAATATTTCAGGTTGTGATCAGAATTTTCATCGACAATGTATCGAGGATATTCAAGAAGTATGTACTAAAAATAAAAAAGGTATGAAGAGACCTTCTGGCTTGATACCAGTCATCCCGTCAATACGTAAACCCAGTAACCCAAACGCTTTAGCTGGTAAGTTTTAAACGTTTAATTGTTTACAGTTAATGTAAAAATGATTCCTGTAAAGGATGAATTATTTTACTAATTTATTTGTCATATTAAATAAAAGTACTTGTTGAATAAGTTGTTAGTTCAGCCATAATAATAGAATTGACCCTTTTCCAAGCTGTTGAAAATGCTAAACTGTCTCTTGGTGTCCTACTCTTGATCGAGAAAGCTCCTTTGGGTTTTCTAGCCTGGATTTTCAGTGGTTTCCATGACAAGGAATAGTGTCTAATTGTCATTAAAGATCCCCTTGACAGTTTGAAATTGAATCCCCTGCTATAATTATGACACATGCGAGACGGCTGCGTTCTTGTGACATCCCGATGTTTGACATAATATATTTATCCCTTTTAGTAAAATGAGTTTGAGTGAAGGATGTTTTATAAGAATATTATATGATTGTTGATGTTTAATACAAACTAATAATGTTTAATGCGGTGTCCATAATCTGTAGATCATTTATTTGCATGTCAAATCATCACCATTGAATATCATTTTCAAGTTTAAGAAGCCAGATATTTATTTTTGCTAATTCTGTTTAATGAAATGTTCAATTTGATTAACTTTAATGTCTAACTGTGTTCGCCGTTGAAACTAACAGTTTTTGTTAAAAGTGTTGTTAGTTGTATTGGAATTATTACGCAAACTGGACTTTGTGGAAATAAATAATGTGAACTTATTTAAATTACTTCTAACTTGTTCATTTTTATATGCCCACATTGAAATGTGGTCATATATTGTTGTCGCCCCCGTCTGTCTGGTGGTCCGGCGTCCACAATTGCTTGTGGACGCTCTAGAGGCTAATATCCAATTGACTTTAAATTTATACACAGTGTTTAAAGTCATGAGACGAAGAATCCTATTGATTTTCAGCGATTTCTGATAATAATTGCCAGTGTTATGGCCCTTGATCACTAAAAAAATCTTGTGGACACTCTAGAGGCTAAAGTTAATATCCGATTGACTTCAGATTGATACACAGAGTTTAAGGTCTTGATCATGAGATGAACAAGTATATTCATTTCAATGAATTTTGATAACTTGAACAGCTAAATCCATGATATTAAATGTTTCGTATACTAAATGTTAGCATGGGACAGAACTTTAAAAAAAAAAAAAAAAAATTCTATTGATTTTCTGATAACAAGTTGTTATTCTTAATCAGATTTTAGTGTAATATAAATGTTTCTTTTCCGAAAAAAGTAAAAATATGCGACAACTCTTGTTGACTGCCCGTACGATTTAGCTGCTGTGGGCGTATGTTTTGTTGCCTGGCAACCTATCTTTATACTCCCACATTGAAATGTGATTGTATATTGTTGTTGACTTCCTCTTGTGGACTCTCTAGTGGCTATAGTTAATATCCTATTAAATTTATACTCAGTGTTTACGGTCATGAGACTAAGAATCCTGTCTTGATTTTCTGCAAATTCCGATAATTACTGCCAGAGTTATGTGCCTTAATCACTTTGAAAAATCTTGTGCACGGGGCTAAAGTTAATATAAATTTTTACACAGTGTTTCAGGTCATGAGACAAACAATCGAAACAAATTCTAAAGATTTCTGATATTTACTTAATGGGTTGTTACTCGTAATCAGAATTTAGAGTGTAGTAAATGTTTTAATTACTGATAAAAGAAAAAATATGCGACAACCCTTGTTGACTGCCCGAATGAAGTAGCTGCTGTGGGTGTATGTTTCGTTGCTTGGCAACCTGCCTTTTTTGTTGAAAAGACCATAATACTGTTCTTATTTTTTGCATGTTGTTTGATTTGCATGTTGTTTTTACTGAACCACTAACCTTGAGCTTTGTGCTCTGCACTTTGACCCCACAGGTACTTCCTTTACTCCAGTGAATGAAGCTTTGGCAGCGGCAGCCGCAGCAGAAGGCCGGGAAATTGTCACCCAACCTGTAAAGAAGGATGAGGACGTTGATATGTGTAAGTTAATCAGTACAATTCCCTTGTTCCAGGATTATGTCTACGGAGAATACTACTCCTTCAAGCAATTTTTTATTTTTTTAAAATTCATTGAAAAAGATATCCTGAGTTCTAATTAGTGATCTTACTTTGTTTTTTGATTTATATTGGTGTTTAAAGAGAAAGAAGAAAACTAATGATTCAATTGAGCATTCTAAACTACATCTAAACTCTTTCTGGAGAAAGTTTTATCGCAGCTGTTGAAGTAGTACTTCTCCTATACATTTTACCTTGGAATGTTATGAGTTATTATTAAGTAGTAATTTTTGAAATGTAGAAAATGATTATATGTAAACAATTTAACTTGTGCATCAAGAAAATAGTAGAAATCACAACTAAATTAAATAATGGATAAAATTGTTATCGATAGAGATGTAATTTTGTAGATTTAGTACTTAGGACAGTAGGTTAGTCAATTTGCATGGGAAATCAAATTTACAGAAATCTAAGTTGTACAACGGCCTTGCATATATCTTGGTTAAAAGCAGTGGATTTTGTATAATTAACTAAATGGACAACAGTATGAGGGACTTTTGATAATTAAAATGGATATAATATGACCAAACAAACTTCCAGTTCTTTCTAAAACCAATCTATCTTTGATTTATTATAATGAACAATTATTCCTGCATGGCTTCAAAATATTTAAAATGAATTATTGAGAATTAAGGAGAGTAATTCTTAGTTGTCTAAATTAATCCATGAATGATGTATCTTTAACGGGTCCTATCTAATTTTGTCATCTAAACATGCATGGCTTAAAATTAGGTGCATTGATTAAGTTATTAATTTGCTGAATAAATTTTGGTTGTCTTCAATGCTATCAAGGATCTTCAAGTTGGTGTTGTATTTCCTTTAAATGTGAAACCCTTGGAAATGGATATCAGTGGAAAAGACTTGGTATTATAGAAGACATTCACAATAGTATCTTCTGTTAATTTGATTTTCCTTGTAAAGACCTTGGCCTAGATATTGTCACACATATACTTGAAATAAATTTAAATTACACAAAACTAAAACTTCCCCAAGATATAAACCCCAACAAAACTCTGAAATGAAAGCCCCGAATGAAAGTATGTGTGAAAACAAGGATGAATGAAATGTTTGTTTTTTTTTTTCAAATCACTTTCACTCTTTCTTTTTATCAGTCACAACTGAATGCAATCATTAAACACCCCATTTTCTTCCACACTAAACTAAAACTAACTGTCTCCATTTAAACACTGAGATTGAACTAACAGCACTTGGCATTTTATGTATTTCTTATCTGAATCCCTTTATTAGTTTGGTCATTTAATTTTTGAGAAAAAAGAAAATTAAACGTGTTTGAAAAGAAAATATAATATCAAAAAGTACTGTTCATTCGGTATTTCATTTTAGCTTGATTCAGAAATTACACAATTAGTCCTACAAAGAACGAATATTAAAATTGTATTTTGAATCCTTTGTTTTGAATCCTTTAAAATATTCAGTTTATTTTCACCCCCTGTGTGATATATTTCACTTTTTTTGCACTTTTAGATTTTGACTTGCTTTTCATTTTTGAAGCATTTTGCTTTTGTTATGATTTTAAAAGCTTTAATTGTAGTTTTATGTAGGGTTGTATGTAGTTTCAATGTTTTATTCTTTGCTGCTTTTAGTTTTGATTAGGCTTGCAGACATACACACAGACAATAGTAATTTAACATCATTAACACGTCAGCTAATTTACAAAAACAGCTTTTGATATATTGTAGTGATAGAGCAGGAGAATTACAAAATGAAACATAACACTGCCCCGAGTTTCCAATATATTTAAATCTCTAAGTTAACATCATGGAAATGATTATATATATATTAGTTAAGTTACAGACACAAAATATCATAGTTGAATTCAGATGTAAGCAACAAACACAAACGATTACTGGCATGCACGCGGAACTCCGGACACTTGTTAGCAGACACTAAATCAAAATGACTGTAAGTCAACTTGTTAGCTACAATAATGTAGTTTCTAATTAAAAATCATGAGGAGATTTACAAATCTTATTAGGAGACACGGTGGCTAAGTGGGTAAGACGCTGGCTCACTAGCCTGTATTGGCCGAGAAAGTTCATTGTGATTTTCCGGCGTGGTTTCCCTCGTCCAGGGATGCAGGATGGAGGGCATGACAAAGGCAGCTGTCTAGTCATTCGGATAGGACAAAAAAAACAAGGTCCCTTGTATACATTGGAATTCAATATAAGAGTAGGCCATAGTGCCACTGCCCAGGCAAAATTTCCCTCATAGCACACTGTATGGCATATGCCGGTCTTCATTAGGATGTTCAACCCCATTTCATTTTTTTCATTTATTCTGAAAGAAGCTGTGCTGTTGCATCTTGAAAATAGGGGGAAAAAAATCAAGTATAGGACATCTTCTAACAGTCATATCAATCAGCATATAATTTATTCGAGATATTTTAACATTTCGTCACTCACATAAAACAAAATGATCTATTCATTGAAAAAGAAGTCTTATCTCCATATAGATTGCAAAAAACTAAAAATAACAAAACAGGAAATTAAAATCATTTTTTGCTTTACAGTTAAAGGACCGAAATCTATAATTTGATTTAAATCAAGTATGTTCAAAATTATGGATGAATATGAAATAAATTTGGCATCTATGTGGAGAATTATTTCTTTGTTTATGCTTATTTATATTTTTGACAGCTTTTAATGTCTTTAGTTTTACCATTGCTTTTTATTTTCATTCATCATGTCACCATTTTGTGTTGTTTGCAAACTTGTGAATTTTTATCTTTAAATATCTGGATGGTAATTGTGTTACTGTTTCATATAATTTGATTATTTAGCTAGAAGAATTTATTATAAATTTTTTATGGCTCTGTGGCTGTTGTCTTTACGTATACCAATAATTATTTTTATCCTTTTTTTAAAAAGCAAAATAATAATAATTCGCAATTTTAGTTTTGGTTCTAGTTTTAATTTGAACTTTTAAACTTTACCTGGCACCTTCCCTTTTCAAGTTTGACCTTAATGTGTACAGATGTGAAGGGAGGTGATAGGTGTTGTGTACATGTCAGAGAATGCTTACCCATCTGATATCACATTTGATCCATCTTTATTAGCCCAGTCGGTGCAGAACAGTAGGGCATTAAAACCCATTTGCTTTTTCCCAGTTTTACTAAAATCATCATACTGCCCATGTTACTAGAGAAACAGAAATTACCATATGTCAGTTCAAAATGACCAAAGTATTGTGTTGACATTAAAGTCCATCATACTGCCCATGTTACTAGAGAAACAGAAATTACCATATGTCAGTTCAAAATGACCAAAGTATTGTGTTGACATTAAAGTCCATTTTATTGATTTCTATGATAAAATCATCTTGACAACATTAACAGCTAACCACATTTCTAGGACTTATAAAAACTAGATTGGTTTGGGTGATATAGTACAGCTTTAAATGCAGGCTATTAACAAACAAGTTAACTTCCTAGATTGAATGTTGAGCTATAGACCAGTCTCAAAAATAACTAGAATTATTATCAAGTCTCAAAGAATTATCATCAAGTCTTAAAGATTACTATAATTAGTAACGCCAACAACTGACACAATCCTTGTCGTTATCTATTTGTTCTCATAGTCAAGGAAAGTATCTGACGTCCATCCATGCACACACACTAGAGTGCATATAACAGAACAGTTAACGTGCATGTAAATAAACCGTAACATTTAGAATTCTCCTCACTAGCATTGTGCAATAGACAATAGAAAACAAAATATCATATATTAGTCTCAGAATTACCTAAATATTGAGTTGATCACATGTTATACTCTATTCCTGTCGGCCTGACAAGGACAGCTGTCTAGTTGTTCGGATGGTACTAAAAACCGAGGTCTCGTTTACACGTTGGCATTCACGTAAAAGATCCCTTGACAGTTGGAATTCGATATAAGAGTAGGCCGTAGAGCCACTGTCTGGGCAAAATTTCCCTCATTGCACACTGTATGGCATATGCCCGTCTTCATTAGCCCAGTTCGGAGCAGAACAGTAGGACGTTAAACCTAATTTCAATTCATTTCTTTTCCTGTCAAACAGAACGTGATATATAAAATTTAAACATTCAAAACGCAGAAGAGAAAGTATATTTTAGTAGAAGAGGAACAGAATACATAGTTTACCTACTGAGTTGTAGACACACTATTCTAGTTTAATTAAACAATTATACATTTTATTATTCCTGATTTATAACCCAAAAATCGTACCATTCAGACCATTATACAATTATACATTTTATTATTCCTGGTTTATAACCCAAAGGGGGGTTGGATGGCTGAATGGTTAGCGTGCGCGCGCTGTATCATAAAGTCTGTCATTGAGTCGACTGACGTGTTTTCGAATCCCCGGTTGTACGTGACAAGGAGTAGGGTCGCCTGTCCAACCTCGTGGGTTTTCTCTGGGTCCTCCGGTTTCCTCCCACTGCTAAAGACCCCTACGCGCAAGCGAATTATTGAAATAAAGTTAAACCATATGTTATTCCCGAAATGACCTAGTTTGTGTCGAGTGGACGTTAAACCTCATTTCTCTCTCTCTTATAACCCCAAAAAAATCGTATGAAATTAATCAGGTGAAAGCCAAACAATCTTGAATTATGTGACAATTATTGGTTTAATTATATTTAATACATACAAACTATAGACAGATATATTCCGTTGTTTGCAAACAATATAAATTCTATATTACATTGTAATAGTGCAGTCTGTATATATTTAGTATATTTATGATTGGTTGAAAATACGCTCGATCCACTTGCTGAGGGCGGTCGAGTCATCTAACATGTGGGTTCTGTAGATCATAGGAAGGGTGTATGGTTAGCGCATGCGCGTTGTATCATAAGGTCTGTCATTGAGTCAACTGGCATGGTTTTGATTCCCCGGTTGTACATGACTATAAACGTCAGCCTCTCTATTTGCTTAAGGTGGGTTGGATGACCGAATGGTTAGTGTGTGCGCGCTGTATCATAACGCCTGTCATTGAGTCAACTGGCGTGGTTTGATTCCCCGGTTGTACGTGACAAGGAGTAGCGTCGCCTGTCCAACCTCGTGGGTTTTCTCCGGGTCCTCCAGTTTCCTCACACTGCTAAAGAACCCTACACGCAACTGAATTATTGAAATCAAATTGAACCGTAATTTAGTCCCAAAATGACCTAGTTTGTGTCGAGTGGACATTAAACCCCATGTGTTGATGATACATTAACCATATGTTAATCTCAAAATATTGTGATGATGCATTAACCATATGTTAGTCTAAAAATAACCAAGGTATTGTACGTGTTGATGATACAATAACCATATGTTAGTCTTAAAATAACCAAGACATTGTGTTGATGGGATGTTCAGAACCTTTCCATTGCTAACGACTAAATAACGATCTGATATACAGAATATAACCAGGCTACGCTATCAATCATCATATTGTACGTACGTTGTTGTTCATGTTTGTTTGTGCTTGTGGTGTCGGGCTTGACTGCAGAGTTTCCCCCCTTTACTGATTCTTCAGCTGATACCCTTCAATTCATAGCGGGACTTCCAGCCGGCCATTCTGTCAAGTCAATCATTAATCGTTACGAGAAACCAAGTCCAGAACAACCAGCCAGTGATGAAGAAGAATATGATGACAGTAAAGATAAAAAGTAAGTGTCGAGACGAAAACAAATTTTCGTTTATTGAGAATCTTGTGATGCTGCTTTGTTTAAACTGTTTCAACCACATCTCATTTGCTGATAAGGATTTGATGTTGAATGAATGTGAAAGAAATTAGTGCTAAATACACAGGATTAAATAATACCTAGAAGACGACCAAGGAATTCCTTTGGACGAAAACAGAATAAATAATAAATATATATATTTATTGACCAATCAGAATTATTCAGTGTTAAAGTTCCAAGTGTCGCTTTTTGGTACTATAGAAAAAAGAAAGGTTTCCTTTTCTGTTTATTTTATTTTAATCTTATCGTGGAATATTGTTTTACAGAAAGAAAGAAGTTGGTAGATCAGAAAGTATGAAAGGACGTGGTGATGTAAGTTTTATTCTTTTGGTTCTTAAAATGTCTGTAACCAGGGGCCGGCAGCACCTGTAGAACAGACCTTGAAAGTCTGAATCATCATTTAGATGTGAACAGAACGAGGGCCAGGGGCCTGTTTCACGAAATTTTAACTAAGATAAAATCCAAATTTTAGTAATTTGAGTGAATAATATTAGATTGATTTTAGTGCTTAGCCAATCAAAATTGACGTATCTAAAAAAATTTGGATTTTATCTTTAGTTAAGATTTCAAGAAACAGGGCCTAGCTGTGTAAACATTGACATGCTAAAATAAGGCCTTGGCAAATGGAATTCTCTCTGGAGTAGACGGAAATTCTGCCTTAGCTTTGCACACTTGACCTTAGAATTTATTTTTAGCTAACTCCATGAGAATCTTGTATCAGCAGTTACATTTAATACAAATCACCATAATATAAATTAATCTAAAATAATTAGTTGGTAAATCTAGAACTTGTTAATTATAATAGGTAATTATTAACCAATAATATTTCTAGTTTAATCAAAAACTACATGTACCACTTTGCATTTGTTTTATCATTTGCTTGCTAACATGTTATTATTTTTTATATTTTCCAGAAAAAAGATAGAGATTCCAAACGACGAACAAAAAGGTAAAAAGATAATTTGATATTGTTTTCTTAACTAAGGTCTTTTTTACTGTTTATGCGATGATGATGTTGTTGACCAGGGGGTAAACGTTCGCTACCATCTAAAGTGATATCTGCCAAATCTAGATATTGGCACGCACATAACCTTAATAGTTGGAAATGAAAAACGTCTGGGCATTTATATAACCATAGATGGGGGGTTGGATGGCTGAATTGTATCATAAAATCTGTCACTGAGTCAACTGGCGTGATTTCGATTCCCCCGGTTGTACGTGACAAGGAGTAGGGTCGCCTGTCCAACCTTGTGGGTTTTCTCTGGGTCCTCCGGTTTCCTCCCACTGCTAAAGACCCCTACGCGCAAGCTAATTATGGAAATACAATTGAAGCATATGCTAGTCCTGAAATGACCTAGTTTGTGTCGAGATATAATCATAGAAATAGAAATTGCTATATATTTATCTAACAATGACTCAAGAATTCAGCTCACAAGACATTAATCCCTCATTCCATTTCGACAATTGTTATTTAAAATAGATATTTATGTTTTGTTGTTGTATTTACAGTGACGTTGATGTTGATGATAATACTATTAAAGCCCTTAACCAATCAGGAAGCTCCTCAACATCTAGTCTGTAAGTTTATTTCATAACTTATACAAATATTACGGGGAAAATCTTCAGTTTGATATTAGAATAGTTGCACACAGTTTAAAGACTGGTCTTCAGAAAGGGAGTAAAACAAAATAACCGTAAACATACATTATGTAAAAGCTAAATCTGCCTTTTGCAAGTCTTTCTTTAGGCTTTAAATGTGACCGTTTAAGACATAAACGAATGTAAAATTAGTAAATAGGTTGACTATTACTTAAACATAACATTATGCAAGAGCTAAATCTGAATATTTCAGGTCTTTTTTTATCCCTGAAATGTTATCTAAATTATTAATTAAGACATTTATTAACTTGCCAAGACCATAATCAACTCTAGAGAAAATTGGATGCCTGCGATATTTACTGGATTTGAATACTTTTTGTCGGGCATGCGGTTACCGTGAAAATGAATAATCAAGACTTTGTTTATTTTGTTAAGAAGGACCATTGATGACGCCAATGTATATTTTCAGTGGTGTTGATAATAATACTGATGAAGATATTATGGAAGATGTGCATTTTGGTGAACAGAATGATTCCGATTTCGAGGTAGAAACAGATCTACCATCGTTAAAACAAGTCATTGGTGAAGACGTCCATCGTAAATTAAAACCAAAAGAAAGAAAACGGCAAGAAGTTCTCAATGGTTTGTGCAATTTTAATTTTGGGGGGAAATGGTTTGAAAGCAGAGAAAGACTTTGATTACATTGTCTAGACAGTATTCTACTTGGAATGGTTTGAAGCAAAGAAAGAATTTCAATACATTGTCAAGACAGTATTTGGGGGAGAATGATTTGAAGCAAAGAAAGACTTTGAATACATTGCCTAGACATTTTTTTAGTTTTTTTTTATTATCACTCCAACAGAACCTGGTGAAAATCATACAGGTTAGACCAGTGAAGCTACTCTATTTCATTGTCTGTTTCGTGAATAAAGCTCATACTCACAAACAAGGCAATCCCAGCTTTTATTCCGTTGTTAACTGAAAAAGTTCCTCATGATTTTACTGCATGGTTTTATTTTGTCAGTGATGCATTTTTGTCATACAGAATTTACAACACCTAAAGAAACAGTAAGCACACTGATATAGAAAGATATAATATTTACAATCAATATGAACTTCTATATTCCTGTATTTTTCAGAATTATTCCACACCGAGAAGATGCATGTTCGTAATTTAAAGATTTTAGACAGGTTATTTTTTCGACCGATGGTGGGAGAGCCTGCGACGAAAGATTTAGCTAAAAAACTTTTACCCAACATTCATCAAATGATTCGACTTCATAGTAAGTAGTTTTCTCTTATGAAGCCACGATGGCTCGCTAGCATGGAGGTCGCGTGTTTGATGCCTGCATTTGCTGAGAAAGTTCATCAGGTTTTTCCGGCAAGGTTTCACCTTGTCAGTGGTGCAGGACGGAGGGCCTGACAAGGACAGCTGTCTATTTGTTCAGATGGTATGAAAAACTGAGATCCTGTTTATGCATTGGCTTGCACGTAAAAGATCCCTTGGCAGTTGGAAGTCGATATAACTAGGCCATAGTACCGCTTTCCGGGCAAAATTTCCGTCTTCATTAGCCCAGTCGGATTAGAACAGTAGGGCGTTAAACCCCATTTTATTTCAAATGGAGTTTAAAGTCCTACTGTTTGGCTCTGACTGATTTCTATAAAAATGAAATGAAATGGGGTTTAACGTGCTACAGTTCTGCTCGGACCAATTTCTATAGAAAAATGTTCTATTTATTTGTGACTGTGGACATGTGTAATATGAGACAGAGATGTCAAGACCTTGCTGAGATTTACAAGTTATAATTGATCCAAGTTTTTTTAGGGATTTTTTTTATTATCAATAACTTGTGTAAAATACCCTTCTCTAAACAGTGCATGACACAGAATATTTGGATAGAGGGGAAGGGGAGGGGGGGTTGTCACTCCTCCAAGAAAATCAAGGGTATCAATGACAATTCTTTTTAAATAGATAAAAGTGGATGGAAGAGATGTTAAAATATATAACTGTAGAAGTAGATAGAGGGTATATTGCTTGTTACTGTACTTTAACATTATCATTTGTGACCTGTGCTGGCATTTTGAGTCTCATTGAGGAAATTTTGAAAATTGAATTTTGTTCTATTGCTCTTCTTATATGTTTGGTCAATAGATAGTATATTGATAGGTTCATTTTTGTGAAAATCTCAATTTCGACCAAAATCAATATTATCTCTTGTTTTGTCTGTAGCTCTTTGATTTCCCGGTTGTACGTGACAAGGAGTAGGGTCGCCTGTCCAACCTCATGGGTTTTCTCTGCCAAAGTCCCCAAAGTACAAGCGAATTATTGAAATAAAATTGAACCATACATTAGTCCTGAAATAACCTGTTTTTTGTCCAGTGGACGTTAAACCCCATTTCTCTCTCTCTCTCTCTCTCTCTCTCTCTCTCTCTGTAGCTCATAATTAGATTTTGTGCATTCCGACTCATTTTGCCAGCACAGGTCACATTTTTTGACTGACTTGTCTATTTATGTTTTATTTTTTATTTTCTAGGTTCATTAAACAATGGGTTGAAGAATCTACGTAAACAAAATCCTGTGATAGGGGACGTAGGGGAAATATTCTTAAAACGGGTGAGTAATAAAATTCTACAAATAGAGATTTTTAATTTTTAATTAGTTTTAAAGGGTTTGAGATCTTGTTTTCAGGTTCAATATTCTTAAAGTGGATAATGTAAGAAACAAAATTATGAAAATTTAGATTTTTATTTTCAATTAGTTTTAGGAGAGTTAATATCTAGTTGAGTCAGGGATATTGGGAGTTAATAATTTATGTCTTTTACAGTTTGATGGGGAAGATGGAGAGATGTTCCAAAAAGCCTGTGCCACATTCTGTCGAGGCCAATCAAACGCTCTCGAAGCTCTTAAAAAACATCAGCGTAAAGAACAAAGATTCTCTTCGTTTTTAAATGTAAGTTGCTTGCTGTGTACACCCAATATTAGAAATGAAATTATAATGATTATAAAGAGTTGACATTTGTTAGTCTTGAAATGATTTTTTTTTTATTTATTGTCTGAGATGTCTGTGTATTTGTGTGTCTTGTCGGGATGGCCTGTCATTGAGTCAACTGGCGTGGTTTCGAATCCCTGGTTGTACGTGACAAGGAGTAGGGTCGCCTGTCCAACCTCATGGGTTTTCTTCGGGTACTCCGGTTTCCCCTCACTGTTAAAAAAGAACCCTACGTGCAAGCGAATTATTGAAATAAAATTGAACCATGTGTTAGTCCCGAAATGACGTGTTTGTTCGGGTGCCCTTCCATACTTTCTATATTTTGTTAACAATATGACTTATTTATACATTTATGTGAATTTCAGGATGCAGAAAGTAATCCCTTATGTCGAAGATTACAACTGAAAGATTTAGTTCCGACACAGTTTCAACGATTAACGAAATATCCTCTGTTAATAGAAAACTTGTTAAAATATTCTTCCAGTAAGTATTTCACTTTTACATCCTGTTTTTAAAAAATCATTTACCATTAATGGTAAAAGTTATTTTCTGACCGAGTAATGAAATGGGGCCGCATAATAAAGATACCAACATGTTCACAGGCCCTTGGATGAAAGTCCAATCTGAATCAAACACTGTTCCTTGCCAGACAGGGTTGGATGGCCGAATGATCAGCACATTCGCATTGTATCATAAGGTCTGTCATTGGTCGCCTGTCCAACCTCTTAGGTTTTCTCTGGGTCCTCCGGTTTCCTCTCATTGTTGAAGACCCCCTATGCGCAACCGAATTATTGAAATAAAATTGTACCATATATAAGTCCCAAAATGACCTGGTTTGTGTTGAGTGGACATTAAACCTTATTTCTCTCTCTCCCTTTGCCAGACACTCACCACTAACAACAGGAAACTAGAGGCACTTGCTCCCGTAAAATCAGGATCGATTGTGAGACCTTCATGCTTCGAGAGCCAGTACCTTACTTACTAAGGCTCCCCTACTTAATTGAACCATTCTAACAAAGTGCCACATGTTATAAACCTCATGCGAGGGGTTGGGTCACCCTTCCAACCTCGTGTGTTTTCTCTAGGTCCTCTGTTGGGGGTTGGATGGCTGAATGGTTAGGACATGGGCACTGTATTAATTGAACCATTCTAACAAAGTGCCACATGTTATAAACCTCATGCGAGGGGTTGGGTCACCCTTCCAACCTCGTGTGTTTTCTCTAGGTCCTCTGTTGGGGGTTGGATGGCTGAATGGTTAGGACATGGGCACTGTATTAATTGAACCCTACATACAAATTAATTATTACAAAAAAATTGAACCATGTGTTAGCCTGGAAATGACCTAGTGTCAAGTGGACGTTAAACCCCTTCGTTTTCTCTATCAACTTCATTCATTTCTCTTTTTATCATTTCAGCCAATTCTGATGAATATAAAAATTTACAGAAAGCCCAGCAGAAATCTCGAGATATTTTGGCGTTTGTCAATCAATCTGTCAAAGATCACGAGAACGAACTTCGTTTACAGGAATTACAGAAAAGAATTGAGAAGAAAATCCCTCAAGATACACAAGACAAAAGACGTCAGTTAGCAGAAGATATGAAGGTAATACCATATATCAAAGATACGACAACATGTTGCGGGGGTTGGATGACCGAATGGTTAGCACGTACGCGCTGTATCATAAGGTCAACTGCCTTGGTTTCAATTCCCCTGTTTTACACGCAAGTGAATTATTGAAATAAAATTGAACCATATGTTAGTCCCAAAATGACCTAGTTTGTGTGGAGTAGACGTTAAATCCTCTCCCCCTCTCTCTCTCTCTCTCTGACAACATGTTAGTCTCTCTGATCTCAGACCGGGAAAGATACCAGCAATAATACACTTCCATTAAATCAGAATCACAGAGGAAAATAATTAGGGAGAAAACTGATGTAAATACAGATCTGTATTTCGTTTCGTTGTTTTATACTTCATTGGCCTCTTCTACATGAAGATCTGACCGGTTATACTGGAAGGTCTGACCGGTTGTACTGGAAGGTCTGACCGGTTGTACTGGAAGGTCTGACCGGTTGTACTGGAAGGTCTTACCGGTTGTACTGGAAGGTCTGACCGGTTGTACTGGAAGGTCCCTTCAGATATCATAGGTGCAACTCTTCACCCTAGGACCTCAGACATTTGATTAACCATTCAGCATTGATGTTTCTAGTGGGTTACCCACAGTTCCATGTACCTCACGCCAAACCCTCGCCGTAACAGACCGTTTCATTGGCTAATCCTGCACATCATCCAGAACGCAGATTATGTAACAACTCTTCCACATCCTAGTGTAGTAAAGACAAGTAAAACGAAATTTTGAAATAAAGAACTTCCTAAAAAAAAATAATTATCAGCGTGGAAAAAATATGTCCTAAAAATATTTATCATAATTATTTATATATATTATGTTGTTTTTTTTAGAACTTGGATCTGTCCGAACATAAATTAGTTTATGAAGGAGAATTAACATGGAGACTTCGTCCGAACAGATTAATAGAAATGCATGTTGTTCTCTTGGAGGACATCCTGGTTTTATTACAAAAACAGGACGATAAACTTGTCCTCAAGTGTCAGAGTACGAACGTCCATACAACTTCGGATTTAAATCAGCCTGGACGAGATGCAGGAAAGGGCTACACACACAGTCCAATATTAAAACTACAGAATGTTCTGTCTAGAAATGTAGCAACAGGTAGGATTATAGTTAAAGGAACGTTACATAGAACTCAAATCATGTTTAATCTTTTAATTAGAACTCAAATCATGTCCAATATTTTAATTAGAACTCAAATCATGTCCAATCTTTTAATTAGAACTCGAATCATGTCCAATCTTTTAATTAGAACTCGAATCATGTCCAATCTTTTAATTAGAACTCGAATCATGTCCAATCTTTTAATTAGAACTCGAATCATGCCCAATGTTTGTGCAGTGTAAAAAAGATAATATTTTATGGCTATTTTATAGCTTATTGTATCCAAAATACATCTTCATTGTTTGAAAACCCAACATCTTGAATTAGTTGCCAACTAAGATAATATTACCTCGATTAAATCAATTTCCCAAAACATTCAATCAACTATCTCCAAAGATTGTTGTTAGTCTTAAAGCAGCCTATTCTCTGGATTCAGTCAGAAGTAGATCAACAGTTTTCTGGCACATATTTGGTAGTGTTGAATATATTTGCATATAATTCATTTATTAAATTTATGAAGAAATTGTCAGATCGAAACATTCTGCTTGTTAAAAACTGAATAAGCCATTTATGACTTGCATTGGAAGGATTTAGGGTTTGGAGTTGGTGTGGAACCTCCCAGATTCAGTGTCTCAAATCTGGTAAATCAGTTACTGATTTCTTCATTTTATTCTGTGGTTGTTTTTTTTTCCAGATAAGAAAGCTTTTTTTGTGATAAATACGTCCGAAGCTGGGCCTCAAATTTATGAATTGATAGCAGCTACCCAAGACAGCCGTAAAAAATGGCATAATCATATCAACACAATGTCCGACGCTTGTAAATTTAAGAAAACTAAATTGAACGTACCAATGACACCACAACCTCAAGAAATAACCGAAATAAGAGACAGAATCAAAGTGTGAGTTTTGTTTGATGAGTTGCAGAGGCTTGGGTGACCAAGTAGACTAATGTATTGCAGGTTGATTCATGGTTTCCATTCTAAGCTCGTAGGGGCTGGGTGGGTGTGACAGAATGGTCTAATGCGGGCGCTTTAGAGCATGACCTCTGTCGTCGAGTCAAGTTGCGTAATTTTGATTTCCAGCTTGTACCAGATAAGGAGTAGGGTCTCCTGTCCAATCTCAGGGTTTTTCTCCAAGTCCTCTACAAGACCTCTATGAAAATATGTTAGTCCTAAATGTGTCGAGTGGACGTTAAACCCTATCTCTACGCTTGTACATGACAATTAGTAGGGTGTCCGTCTGACCTTGCGAGTTTTTGGCTTTCCTTCCATAGCTAAAGAATTATTAATAAATATATGCAATATGTCGGTCCAAAATGGCCTCAAACCCCTTTTGATTATGAAAGGGTTGTTAAATTTTATGATAGCCTTATTAGATTGGGTCTTTGTCACTCTATGGAATATTTATACAAGCGTAATATTAAACAGGTTTCGCTCATATTTTGTAGTCGGTTTGACATAGATAAACAGGAATGTACTTTGGGGTGACCCCGGTTGAACGTGACATGGAGTGAGGTCCCTTGTCCAACCTTGTGGGTTTTCTCTGGGTCCTCCGGTTTTCTCCTACTGTTATAGAGCCCTATGTGCATGCGAATTATTGAAATAAAATTGAACCATATGTTCATCCCGAAATGACCTAGTTTGTGTTGAGTGGATGATAAACCCCATTTCTCTCTCTCTCTCTCTCTCTCTCACTTTGGGTGATACTTATTTTTTTTCAATATTTTACAATTAACAATATTTTTTCTATACAGGCGCTCGCCTTCTAACTTATCCCGAGCACACACAAATACCCAAGAAACCGTGCCACAACGAGAGTCTTCGGTTATTGGTGAAACGGCAGAAGTGGTTTCAGAACCGGAATTAGTTCAGCCTGGTGAAGTTGTTAAATCTGGTTTAATCGTAGCACAGTCGAAACCCGTCTTAACACCACTAGGTACGTCAATTTCTTTTTTATTTGTTTATTTGTTTGGATGTGGAACACGGATTCATCCATTGTTCTCTTGTCGTCATACTTCACTTCTTCATCACCAATCTCAATCTGATTAAAACACAGATCCTATTTCGTTTCGTTTTTTATATTTCAAAACTGGATGGCCGAATGGTTAGGACGTACACGCTGTATCATAAGGTCTTGTCATTGAGTCAACTGGCATGGTTTCGATTCCCCGATTTGGTTAATCAAATATCTAACGTGACCTCTGACACAACCTTCCACTACAACCGGTCCGATCTTCATGTAGTGTAGGCCATCAACAGTATAAAAAAAAGAAAACGAGATATAGATCTATATTTTAATCAGAATGCACCAAACTCTGGTTGTGAGTCTAGGATAAGACATGGTTGTAGGGTCAATGAAATTATTTTCATCAAGAGAATAAAAAATTGTAATTTCAAACCTCATTATAGAATATGCACTGTGTCTGGGCAGGTTTTAGTGCTGGTCTAGATTGACAGACTGTCATGCATTGTAGATTGGCTTTTAGATTTGATCTGGTTTCACAGACATCACTGTATATAGGCAGCTTTTAGAAGTGTTCTGATGGCTGTATCTTGTTAGTCGGAATAAAATCGTTTATATGAACACACATAGATAGAGTATATAAAATATAACTAAAATTATATACATTGTACCAGATTGATATATAAATTAGGTTAGCAATTAAACTGGAAAATATGCTTAGAATATTATTAAAGATAGAGGACTATTTACACAAGATCTTCATTATTTTTATAAAGGTACAGAAATAGGTTACTCCATCGATCTTGGAAATATTAAACATACATTATGCAAGAGCTAAATCTGTCTATTTGCAGGTCTTTCTTTAGGCCTGAAATGTTTTCTAAATTATTAATTAGACATTAATTAACTTATCCAGGCCATAGCCAACTCTCGATGGAATTGGATTTTCTGATATTAAATAGATTAGAACAGTTCAGCCATATTTTGATTTAAGCTAAAAATGGAGGAGCGAGACTTAGCTTCGAACAACCAGTACGGTGGATGAAATTATTGCACACGTCTTGTCAAATCTTCAAAGGCTAATATCTTCGCTCACAATAGAGTAATTTGAATGAAATTTTCAAATTATTCATTTTACATTATCTATTTTCGAACTATTATAGCAAGAATGGCTAGCTCTTTATCTAAATCTTAAATAATGTATCATTAATAATGGTTCCAAGATTGTATTTTATTGGGATTTCCCGTTAGTAGTATTGAAGCAAAGCTCAAGTACATGCCTGCTTTAGGGAAATTACAGATTTAATAGATTCTGTAACGTTCAGAAGATTTTAAGATTTAGATTACAATTAAATAATTGAAACTTATCCAAGATGAAATATTTTCCAGTTTTTCAGCATTCCATCCTGACATCTATTTGACCATTCACCCATATTTTAGCACCCAAAAATAATTTAATTTGATTAAAGTTTTAAATTTTAAAATTAATAAATTGAATATTATCAAAAGAAATTTTTTTGTAAAAGTGTAAGCGTTCTATTTCAAGTTATTATTACAATAAGATTGGGTACAGTAATACCTGAGTAAAATTAGATTTAAATACAGTAAAATCTATCAACAAGGGTCTGTTTAAAAGAGCATTAAATTTGAACAAATGTCAAATACCTAGGTACACGTTGACAAATCAGGCATGGCTTATAGACCTATAGCAGCTATATATGCAAGCTTCAATTTGTAAAATAGTCAAATAGATTCTAGGATAATCCATGCTTAAATACCACCCAATGACATCATCATCATCATCATCACCACACCATATATAGCTGCTCACTGGCTAGTCACATAGATGTATTAAATAACGTATATTTTAACAAAAAACTTTTCAAATATCAAGGCTAGAATTATAATTTTATTTTTTAGGTAGAATTTAAAACACATATTATTAAAATGAAATTACTATGGATCATAAATTTGTTGAGATTTTTATCTGATTTCAGCATCGCTTTCATCTTACATCAAAAAGCACGGCTTAACGCAGTTTATGAATAATTATTATAGCTCCCGCTCCAATACTAATGCCAAGGTCATTGATACAAGCTAACAGTTGTGGTTTAGGTTTCTTTACTCACTGATCAAAATTAACTCGCAAATTTTATTTCGATTAAATTCCATTAAACATTTTACTTATTTCTTGACCATTTAGAAGAAGAAAAAAAAAGATCACATTGAAATTTGAACAGAAAACCTTTTTGATAAATATTTCATGAAATAATTTGAAAGTAATCGATCAGTTGTTGCGTGTTTTTTTTTTTTTAAACATTCAGCTTTCAAAACTGATGGTAGGGATCAATGGATGTTTGTTGGTAATGGAACTGTTAGTATGTCCTTGACCTTCCTCTGGCTAATTGATCGCAGTGATCTAATTTCTAATCTGGCTCTCGTCCTTTCTCAATCTCTCTCTTACTGTTGTCTCAGACATTGTGCTGTCTCGGACATCATGTTGTTCAGCAACTTTCAAATCGATAAATTTGTGAATGTGATACACAAGCGTACTTATAAATTCTGTTGTTATTATTATTATTATTATTTTGTAATTGTTTGCTGTGTAACTATATGTATACCAGTGTAAATTCATGCGTTGCCTTAGTTACCAGATATTTATATATATATATATGATATAATTTATATATTACGGTATATAACTAGATAAAGGTCTGCTTTTTTTTATGTTTTAAAATATTTCTTGTGAAAGTTTGAGAAATGAAAATTTTCATGTATCATCAAGTTTGTGATTTTTTAAATTAACATTTGATACGGTAATCATGGAAACTAGATGTGATTTTGATTGTGCTTGGTGGTTTCCTTGGTTACTGTTTGTTATGCTATTTATACTAATATTACTGTTACCATGGCAATAGCAGCAGTAATTGGCCTGGAATTGTAAACCAATCTCAAAAACAGGAAAGACATATTCAATATATTAGTGAGTTTTTCAAGAAATTGTTAAATTTACACCTATCTCATTATTAGTTTTGACAGGGAAATTAGATTTTTACAATTTTATGTTGTTTTATGTTGTTTTGGGTTAAGTGTGGTAATTTCTTGTACTTTCTTGTACACATGCACATCTTCTGTTGTAGTTGTGTGTTTAAATATAAACTTGTCCAATTATACATGTGTGTCTTAACGCTTGATCACATGTTTGTAATTTTTAGCTTTCTAATTCTCGATCACATGTATAGGATATTTAACTGCTTGATTCTAATTTTCAATCACATTTATGTGATTTTATAACCTATCTGATTCTAATTCTCAATCACATTTATGTGATTTTATAACCTATCTGATTCTAATTCTTGATTACATGGTTGTAACTTTTAGCTTTCTGATTCTAATTCTTGATCACATGGTTGTAACTTTTAACTTCCTGATTCTAATTCTCGATCACACGTGATTTTTAACAACCTAATTCTCATTCATATGTATAGTATTTATAGCTACCCAATTCTAATTCTTGATCATATACTATTTGTAACATCCAGACTCTAATTCTTGATGACTTGTATAGGATTTGTAACAACCAGACCTCTTAATTCTTGATGACATGTATAGTATTTATATTTACCGAATTCTAATTCTTGATCACATGTATAGGAGTTTTTAACAATCTGAATCTAATTCTGGATCACATGCTAATTCTCGACTTTTGGTTACCTTTTCTCGATGTAGGCCTATTGCATGTTTAATATTATATGTAATAAAATTCATTTAATTAATGTCAAATTTGTTTTAACTAATTTTCATTTTTTATTGATGTACAAGTAGTACAACTCAATTGTCATCTGGTTTTTTTTATCATAAATTGCAAACTTAATTTAGTTTAGGTCTTAATTATTTCTTTGAAATATATTCCGGTTGTGTTTTATTTCTCATATCAAATACAATAGGACGAAAATTAACAACACTGTTTTTGATGTACCGTATTAATCTGACAAATTTCAATTTGAAATCGACGTTTTATTAAAATACAAAATGAGTTGGATTTGTCAAGCTGTAAAAAAGTATAGAAATATTTTCTACATACCAACACATACATGAATTAACTTAATTTTCTCCACTTAATTTTAATTTTAAATTTCTCCATATGAATTTTAGATCACCATATTCTCATGTAGGTCTATATGACTTTAGTTAATTTTAAATTGCTCCACTTGAAATTAAATCCTTATTTATTCATGTCTACAATTTAACTAATTTTAAATTTCTCCATTTAAATTTAGAAACGTGTTTCTTTCTGTATATGATTTTAAAGTAATTTGGAATTTCTGAATTTAATTTCAAATCCATGTTTCACCTGTACACGATTTTAAAGTAATTTTAAATTTCTCAATCTAATTTTAAATCCATGTTTCACCTGTATCTATGTTTCACCTGTACATGATTTTAAAGTAATTTTAAATTTCTCAATCTAATTTTAAATCCATGTTTCACCTGAACATGATTTTAAAGTAATTTTAAATTTCTCAATCTAATTTTAAATCCACGTTTCCTCGTATACATTAATTAAAGTAATTTATAAATTTCTTCATTTGAATATATTTTGAAATCCTTATTTCCTCACATACTAAATGCTGTGAAATGATATCAGTAATTAAAATATTTGCACCTAAATAATAGATCCAAATTATTACTGGAAATATTTAAAATTTAGAAAGTTTTTTGAAAGTAGAAGTACATTTGTATGTTAAATTCTCTTCTGGTCCAATATTGAAAATTCATGCAAATGAAATTTATAAAAAGATATTTCTTTCCCTTTTTGGGGGGTAAAATGTTATTTCTGTTATTTATAATAGGGGTGAATATTTCAATATTTTGGTGTTTGTTTAAATAGAAACCATTTCTCATCCCATTAACATCACATACCTGACTGGACAAGCATGACTACCTTATATTATCCCTTTAGCCTCTATTATCACAGCATCAGTTATTGGAAAGGGAAGTTTGCATGGTTGGTTATCTATTGTCAGCACTTGCACTTTGAGGATTTCACAAACTTCAGGTTAGCTTAGGATTTGGGGCTTGAAACCTGATGCTTCAATTGAAAGATTGGATTTTATAACAGACATACTTGGACAGAAATAAAATTATCAGTTTTATTTATCAAAATTTCTTCTTCTCGGTGTCCTTCATGAAAATGTGTTTTAAAACAAAACTCATGCATATCCACCATTTAGTAAAGTAGTTTGACTGGTCTACAAAATGTTAATGTACAATTTGGGGCTGTATAGCACCACACTGTTTCTTCCAGAAGTTTTTAGATATCAACCATTTTATTAATCGATTTTAAAGTTTGGGGTAGGTTTAATGTAGCACCACTGAACTAGGCAATATGTTTTGAATATAGTCATTATTTTGTAATCCCCCTCCACCCGACATTCTTCTCTAACCCCCTTTAAATTTTTCCTGTCAAATTCTTAGATAATTATTTTAAGATATTGTGTGTTCTGGAGACTTGGTGTGTCGACTGTTACCGTGGCAACAATAATAACTATAGTTACATTTATTACCAAGCTTGGCTTTGAACTGCTGCTATTAGCCATATTAACAAGTATTGCATCCTTATATGGAATGATTTGGCATGCCAATGCCCATACAAGGATGGAAGTTATAAGATGCATGGCTAGCCTGTTCTTTTTGTTATTAACAATTCTATCATGGTTACATCACAGAACAACTCAAGAAAAACGACGACGCAATGATGGAGCTTTTGAAAGAGAAAGAAAAAATTGTGTCGTCATTGACGGGCGTACAGATAACTCATCAGGATGGCTTTGGAACCATGGCTGAGGTCAGTTGTTGTCATGGAAATGAAATCTCTGTTGCTAGGACATTATTCAATTAATTCTGAGTGGATTATTGATTTATTTGACACAAAAAAAAAACAAATTTTACTTTTATTTTAGATAAAAACACAAAAGAAAAAACTTTTATTTTTGTTAAATCTCATAAAAAAAAAAAATATTATTAAATTTGATCTCTAAAAAGTTTAATTTGATGAATTTAGTAATGAAACAATAATATGATCTGACCAAAAAAAATGCTTGGTTTACTCTTGGCAGCCATCTTATAATGAAGATCAAGATACCAAGTTTTTGTTAGCGGCAGCATTTCAACAAATGGAGAATTTCAACCGTCTTATGAACACTGGATGTCAAACTCTTGTCAATCAAACCCAAGACTCCACCCACTGTACGTTTTCATTGGTTCATAACCAGAAATACTCCTCCTACCATCTTTCTCACACAGCTTTCATTGGATTCTTGATAAATCATCTGACCGGTTATTTTAAGAATTGATAATTGTGAAAATTAAATGCAGAATTTGAGAAAATTAATTAATTATTCAATCCTGAGCCTTTATTGCTAGAATGGCCATTTGCTGGATTTGTTACTCTGTATATAAGTGAATAAATTAATTAATTGAATTAAATACAATAATTATTCTTGTGATGTTGATCGACTAAAACAAACATAACGAAAGTTATATTAACTTTAGGATTCAACGATTTTAATTCTTTTCGAACCAAAAATGTTGTTTGTTGAAGTCTATAACTGCTGTTTAGCGTGGAATTGCATCCTTTAACATTCTTGGTTTCATGATACACATGATTTTAGGTGAATTTTCTCAAAAACATAATCTAAATTATTTTGAGGATGCTGCTTTTTCATTGGCCTATGATTGAAAAATTCATTATTAATTTAATTCTTAGCCAATAAAAAGAATGCATCTGTTAAATAGTTTTCTTGAACTTACCTTGAATAAGGCCTCAGGAAGGGTTCAATTAGTTAACGCTCAAGTTTTATTTATTGTTCACAGTTATCAGTTCTCGACATACACAATCAGTTGTAGTGAAATTACCTCATTTTTCATTGATTAACCCTTGCGTTATATATTCTCCCATCAACACCATTTTTATTTAGCTTTTCGCTTTTAATTTCATGCAAACAAACAATAATAATATTTCATTCATGCATACTAATCAAATTTATTTTTTATTATCATTTTTTAAAAATCATTTTAGATCATCACTGCTTTTAATTTTCATTTTTTTCTAAACTGCTGTTATGATTTTATTCATTTTTTTTTATTCTGTGCAGGTTTTCAGAGGATATAAAAAAATTAGTTTTTGCTTGGGATTTCGTTCACCAAAAATTGATTATGCAAATTTGATTTTAGTTTATTTGTAAAGTTCCTATATTTTCTTGATTGATTTTTTTGTATTTTATTTTTAATTTTTTTTTATATTTTGACTTGATTTTTTTTTGCATGTTTTTTTTTTTTTTTTTTTTTTTTTTAAAATGGGTAATTATGATGCAGAGGCAATTAGTGGAAAAAGAATTTGAGTGAATTTAATAAATAAAAAATTTGAGAGCTTGTGGCAGCGATGGTTGGAGGACTATATATACACAAAGCCACTTCTTTTTATATTCTTAAAATAAATGAAAATCACAATTAAAGGTTTAAAACATATTGAATCTGAACATGGAGAACTCATAGAATGCAAAGTAAATAACCTGACCCTTACTTTAACATATAAGGGGCTACTGTAGTCAGATAGTAGAGCACCCAGGTCTGGATTCCTGTTTGGAATGAGAAAAACCTTTCAGGATTTGTTAATGCTTGTGCTCACTTTGTTTTCTGGACTGGTACTGCTTTAAAAAAAAGTCTTAATAATAACATTTGACACTTTCATAGTTCATTAAAAATTTATGCGTCAGACAATCAATTTATTTTAAAGTTCAAATTTGTGCTCCTTCATTCGTTTTATTCTACAGTTGAAAAGCGGTGACTTTTTTTTATTATTTACTATTCAGATCTAGTTTTAAATAATCTTAAGTTACTTCCCCTTATATTTATGTATTTACCTCCCTTGCATCATAGCCTGATAGTCAGAAATGATATCGTGAATTGATTAATTTGAACATGAAACCATGTTAGCACCTAGAAGTGGCTATGACACTAATACTAGCATGTAAATGTTGTCAAATAATTTATTTTAATGGAAGCAAGGCAGCTGACCTTCTGGTGGTTTATTTATCAAAATGTACATGTATACGCTTGACGATCTGCTTGATGAATGAATCAACTAATCCAACGATTGGCACATTATCCATTCCCTTCCCTCAACTTACACGTCCTCATGTTGTTATTAAAGGCAATATTAAAAATATTTACTCAGAGAAAAAATAAAAATTTGACAAAGCCAACCCTCTTTTGTATTGAGTGTTTAGTGAGTTGTCTTCTCTTGATTATAGCTAATACCATAAAAAGTGGAGGATTAAACGTTCCGATACCAATGTCACAGTTAAAGGATATGGCGGCGAAGATGAATTCTATTCTGACTAATCTTTTGGTAAGTCCTGGCTAATTAATACTTCTACATACAGAAGGAAATTCAGTACACAATTCTATGGAATATCGTTACTGTTTATAACTGAGCGATACTTCTGGTTACTCTTCTCTAGTCTTTATGAAGCAGAGGGTGAGGGGGGCGGCGAATGGTAAGTGGTAGCGAATGGTTAGTGGTAGCGCATGCACATGCGCGTTGTATCGTAAGGTCTGTCATTGAATCAACTGGCATGGTTTCGATTCCCCGGTTGTATGTGACCAGGAGTAGGATTTCCTGTCCAACCTCGTTGGTTTCCTCCCACTGTCAAATTGCTCCACTCTGAACCAAAATATTAGCTTTTGAATTTTAGGCTGGCCTCAATCATCATTACTAAAGCCGGTACGATTATCCATTTTAATGTTTAATTTTTTTTCAAAATATGTATTTCAATCCACTAAATATCGTAGGCTAGCGATGGCATCAAGAGTTGATTATGGTCTGGATAAGTTAATTAATGTCTAATTTATAATTTAGATAACATTTCAGGCCTAAAGAAAGACATGCAATAGGCAGATTTAGCTTTTGCATAATGTATGTTTAATTGATAGTCAACATATTTACTAATTTTACATTCGTTTGTGTCTTAAACAGTCACTAAGATAATCGATTGCCAAAATTAAGTTCAATAAACATTTTTATTTATTAGACAAATCGAAGAGGTCTTGGAATTTGTTGTATCGATGTAAAAATTTTAATTTTAATTTTCTAGTCGGCTGTTGGCACCAATGAAGAGGAAAAAGATCGACTTCGTGAAGAGCTGAAAGCTGCACAGGATCAACTGAATGTTCTACGTGAAATTCAGAGAAGTGCGATGGAAGCTGAACATTCATCACAGAGTCGCCCTGCTAGCATGGTGTCAGTTGCATCATCTGTATCTGAACAGGAGGAGACAACTGAAGAACAACTGACTGAAGGAGAAGAAGAAGGTCAGTAATTCTTTATCTTTTAGAGAAACTTTTGAAAAAGTTACTTGTTTTGGCATCTGTTGGTCTGTAATTCAACAATGGGGGGGTCTCACTGGTAAGCTGAAACCGTTGATTTATGAACCTGGGCCTTTTAGTAATGACAATGTTTGTCATTAAATCATATAAGTGATCGTTATTCTAAACTAATGTTTAGTATGTATAGAAAGTGGTTAGAAATAATACAGTTGTCATTTATTAACAGGTGTGTAACTAGCTGTAAAAAGATGTCACTACTGGTGTAAAAATGTGACTATTTATAACACCCATCACTATTGAATACACAAACCTGAACAATAGTGGTGTATATCATTCAATAGTCACAGTTTTAACACCTTAGTGACAAAACACCTACTTAATGACTACAGCCTGATTACTAAAAAATTTAACTAACCAATACACATTTTGTTTATAAAATAACATCTTTGATCTGCTAGTGTCGCGTATATTCATTTATAAAAGTTGTTTGATGCTTACGGTAGTCAAAGGGGGGGTTGGATGGCTGAATGGTTAGCCTGCGCGCGCTGTATCATAAAGTCTGTCATTGAGTCGACTGGCGTGGTTTCGAAACCCCGGTTGTACGTGACAAGGAGAAGGGTCGCCTGTCCACCCTCGTGGGTTTTCTCCGGGTCCTCCGGTTTCCTCCCACTGCTAAAGACCCCTACACGCAAGCCAATTATTGAAATAAAATTAAACCATGTTAGTCCCGAAATGACCTAGTTTGTGTTGAGTGGACGTTAAACCCCATTTCTCTCTCTCGCTTAGTCAAAGCCCATGTGGATTGTCTCCATATTATCCCAGGGGGAATGAGAGAGTCGGTAAAAATCATTGTGGTGGGGAATGGGGGTGCAAGTGAATGCAAGTTCTTTCCATTACCATTTTGATCAGTAAGACTCAAAAGTTTTATTAAATTTTTGTATATTTTTAGATACAGCCCAGGAATCAGATCATGAAATGGTTGTTATGGAAACTGCTACCCAGATGAACTCTGAACCCCAAGTTCTCGACCTTGAATCACACCTGCTAGAATGTGCCGCTGAAACAAATGAACAAGACCCACAGATTCAGGAAATGATCAGAGAAGCAGAGAACATAGCAATCGGGGAAGATAACTCTATGAGTAATAAAATAGAGGAGGATGTCGAATCTGATAACTTTCCACAACTAAACAGTGCTACCATTTCACATGTTGAACCTGTGACTGATCATGTGATCGAAGATGATCACATGATGGATCATGTGACTAATCATGTGATTAAGACTGATCCAGTCGGTGAGGCCGATCAAGTAACAATATCAGATCTGGTTAGTACAAGTGATAATTCTAGTGACAATATTATGAACCGATCAGAGTGCTTGATGGATTTGAGTAGTCATAGTAACGCGGATGATGAGCATGACAATATAAATAATAATGCCGAACCTCAGGATAATTCTTCTATCTCCTCTGAACCTCATCAGGTTCACGCAGCAACAGATTCCTATGAAGGTGCTAATTTTTCCGATTCTGATTCAACTGTGACCCCTGTTCCATTTTGTAGTGAATTGGAATCTGATATGGACCCTATGGCTAAAAGTGACGCCACCCTCGTTGGCTCTGTTAATTCCATTCTCTCTGATAGTGAAATTACCCAAGATGCATCTAATGCATGTGATTCAACGAGTGACTCACAAAGGACCAATGAAAAATCAGATGAGTCTACGACAGTTCAGTCGGACCAATCGGATGGTATAGAAATATGAATTATTATAAAACATCAAAACGTGATTCCTCATTATCAAGTGATTTGTGACAACTTCCTGTTGAATATAGAAGTAATAGTTTAGAGTTATCTTCCCAAAAAGGGAAGACAACTCTTTTAAATAAACTGATACTCCTGATGAAAAGTGCTGATGATATTATCGTTCATTGTGAAGGAGGAACAAAAAAAAAAACAACAAGCGTGACCCTCCATTGTAGTAACTTGACTAAAATAGTTTTTATGATTTATGAGAGAGATAAGAATTGTTGTTTAATATGAAGTGCTATTTTTATATACAACCTTGTAGTAGATGTAGAAGTATAAACATTTAACACAGGACTATTTTAACAAGTCAATGTATGCATATCAAATGTAGATATTATTAACACGAGTTCACTGCTCATGTAATGTAATCGATGCTAAGCAACCCATGAAGAAATGATGATATTCTACACTGTGACCGGGTGGGAGCATTCCTACTCTATTAAGACACTTTTTCACCACATTATAGTCGATTGTATCCAGGTGTGATTGGGTACCGGTTGTACCCAGGTGTGATTGGGTACCGGTTGTACCCAGGTGTGATTGGGTACCGGTTGTACCTAGGTGTAATTGAGTACCGATTGTACCCAGGTGTAATTGGGCACCGGTTGTACCCAGGTGTAATTGGGCACCGGTTGTACCCAGGTGAAATTGGGCACCGGTTGTACCCAGGTGAAATTGAGTACCTGTTGTACCCAGGTGTAATTGGGTACCGGTTGTACCCAGGTGTAATTGAGTACCGGTTGTACCCAGGTGTAATTGAGTACCAGTTGTACCCAGGTGTAATTGAGTACCGGTTGTACCCAGGTGTAATTGGGTACCGGTAGGATAGTTTAAGGTAAATAGAAAGTAGCACAATAATCGTGTATGGTTTTGATGAATGACCGTGAAGGTAATAATAAGACCTCTGATCACACCGACTTACAGCTTGTTTCAAGGTCGTGCATTCTGATGAACTCCCAATGCCACATGTAACTGTAGGACATGATGAACTCCCAAAGTCACATGTAACTGTAGGACATAGTGAACTCCCAATACCACATGTAACTGTAGGACATGATGAACTCCCAATGCCACATGTAACTGTAGGACATAGTGAACTCCCAATACCTCATGTAACTGTAGGACTATCATCATGTATTTTGGGGCTGTAAGGGCAACTACAGATATTGACTGATCTTTTTTATGCTTTGTACCGTCTTACATGTACAGGATTTAAAATTTTAGGACAATGCAATGTGGTTATGAAATGCATCACACTTTTCAAAATGCTATATTTATGATATGCCTTCAAGAGTTATTTCCCCTTATTGTTGCCTATATTACTTCTTCTTCTTATTGCTGCCTATTTTTCATGTATTTTCTTTTGGAATTCTGCACATTAATATTCTGTTCATATAATATTCAGAAAGGGTGGGAAAGGGGTTTCTCCTGGAGTTAATGGAATTTTAAAATTTAAATTAGGGGAAAACAGCAACTCTTGTATGACTATTCCTCCATTTTGTAAATTACAGCTGTGATGATGTAACTTATTTTGATATGTGGACATTTAGATTTAAATATTGGAGAAAACGACTAGTTTTATATTTTCTACTGACTACTGTTTATGGTGACAATTTATTTATTTTATTTTTTTTGTAAAAGTGTAAATACTTCAACCTGTATGTAACTCAGACCTTTGACCGATGTTTTTTATACAAAATTATTTCTACTTGGTAAATATAGCAGGCTAAAGGCAAGCATTTTTATAAAAAACACCGATGCAATTCATATGAAGGTTTTTTTTTTTTATCATTAATAATTGATTTCTCGGGTGAGTTTCTTTTCTTTGACAAAAAGATGAAAAATGACAACATTATTGATGTCACTGTTTAGCTAGAAATGAAAATGATTAGATTAATATTATTGCTAAAAGTATTTCTGTTTCGTGTGTGTATATTAATTTTTGTAAAAGAAAAGATCGTTTCAACAGTTAATGTGGTTTACCTATCCTATGTATTTGCATACCATTGTCTTTGACTACTTTCACTTGCCTTTATCTTGACCTTGACCTTAATTTTGAGTGGGTTTACTCCCAATATTTGTCTGGTCTTTTTTTTTTATGAAATTTTCGATTTTTATGATGGTAAATAGAAGGAGGAAGAATATGTCGCAAGTAGACACAAACTTTTTTATAAACTTCACAGGTTTATTTTATGTTATTTATTACTATGACATAAACATCACATATCCTTCTCCATTTCGAAAATTTGATTTAAAAGGAATTAAATATTGAAATTAAAGTTTTCTCATGTAAACAGCTTTTTTTGACTGTAAGTTGTGTAGTTAAATATATATTTTACTGTAGAAGTGAATTGCTGTTTATTATATTAATTAAACTCTATTTTATGTACATTACAATATAAATATAATATAATTCAATAGGTTGATTATCTCCCTTTAATTTTATTATCTCCCCTTGTTTGGGTTTTTTTCCCCTTACATGGTTATCGTTTCACTGATATTCCCAGTTTTGACTTGGTGCCAGTGAAAGGGAATAACAGAAAAATCTTCTGTTCAGTCAATTTACGGTCATAAAATTCAGTATTTCAAAAAAAGAGTTTTATTGAAAGACACTAATGCTGTTTGTTTCTATTTGTAAAAACTCTTCAATATTTATTTATGAATAGAAATAACTCTTTAAATGGTCATATTCATTGAAAGTAAAAATTGTTCCCCATGTGAGGTGAATAAACTTGGCGAATGAATTGACAGGCTGGCACAATTTTAAGTTGAGAGCCATGTTGGATTTCCTTTGAGTTTTATATTTATTGTTAATAATAACAATATGGAAAATTTACAGCCCAGGGTTGTCATTCTGGCAAAATTAAGAATTTAAATCCCCAATACTGAGTATTTAAATTTAAGAATTTAGAGCCTTGATACTGAATATTTAAAGGCCAGAGTCATCATTCTGGAGCAATATTTTTATATTTTTGTTGAATTAATTGCTGATTACATCAGGGGGAGATAAATCGGTATTAAGGGGAGATAATCCTACACATTGAATCTGGTAAGCAACAGTAATTATAAACACTATGTATACCGTACACACTGTAGTATAAACAAAATACCTAGCAAAAAAAAAACTCCTATAAAAATTCTTAAATATCAGCATTTTTTGTAGTTGTTTAGTTAATTATATAAATATTATATATAGGCCTATATATATATATATAAATGAATATATATATATATATTAATAATGAGTACTTTTGTTGAAGTTTTAATTAAATCAAATGAGTAAATTCATGTACATAAAAATTATACACAGTATAAAAATATTTTGTAAATAATCTCTCCCAGCCCTCCCCACTGAATTCTGCCCCTTCCACGTCCCCTGTTTCGTACTGTATATAACCCCTGTAAGAAGTTATAAGCTGATATTAAATGAGACCACTGTTGTAAAAAGTATAATGTTTGCTGTTTTGATAATATATGAATTATTATTTGGAACTAGTAAGAGGCCCACAGGGACTTCTTACAAGGATATCATGACAGCAAATACTCCCAAACAATAAAACGTTACATTAACATTGGCTGTTACCAGTTCCCCCCCTGTATATTATGGTGTAAGAAGAAGGCTGATCCTTGCTCCTCCCCCATGTATAATTTGCTATAATAATAATGTGTAGTTATAAATTAATATAAGTGTAAATTTACATTATAAATTGGTTACTATTTATAACCTAATAAACATTAAATATCCTAATTACTTTTTCTCGTTTTTATTTTTTGGGGTCCTGGCAAAGAACATCCTGGATTATAGCCCCTGATTGTACAAAAAAAATCGCATTTATTTTTAGCTTGTTCTCTGTCCATCTCTTGCAAAATGTGGGCGTATTTTGCATAGCAATCTTTGGATTATTTTTTGCAGGCCTGGCAAGGAACAGTGTCTAGTTGTTTGTACAGGACAAAAAAAAACCTGAGGTCTCGTGTATACCATGGCATGCACGTAAAAGAACCTTTAAAAACCTTAAAATTCAAGATTTCCCTCATAGCATACTGCATGGTATATGCCTTTTTTCATTAGCCCAGTAGGAGCAGAACAGTAGGATGTTAAACCTCATTTCATTTCACTCTTTATTAGCCCAGTAGGAGTTGAACAGTAGGACATTAAATCACATTTCATTTCATTCTTTATTTTAGGCTGTTCTTGAGATATTAAATTCCAGAAGATCTGTGAGTGATGAGGCTGTTCCCTCCATTACTGTCTCCCCTGTAAACCACCTTTTTATAGGCCCATAGTCTTAAACCATGCTTAGAGATCAAATTCTTATTATTTGACAGTATCAGTGACAATGAAATGTTTATAATACTCCCAACAAGAGAGAAATGGGGCTTAACGTCCACTCGACACAACTAGGTCATTTCGGGACTAACATATGGTTTATCTTTATTTCAATAATTCGCTTGCGCATAGGGGTCTTTAGCAGTGGGAGGAAACCGGAGGACCCGGAGGAAACCCACGGGGTTGGACAGGCGACCCTACTCCTTGTCAATGTATGGGGAAACTATGAGCAAGTACAGAATTGGTGATTACTATGATCATCTTGTTTTTACTTCCTCTTTATGTTTCAAGAGTCTTGTGTGTTAAATGTAAGCAAATATCTAAAAATAAAGCAATTGGTAAAAATATCGGTTTGCGGTACCTGAATTCTACTATCAAGATCTCTTCAAAGATTTTCCGTGACAAGGAGTAGGGTTACCTGTCCAACCTCATCTCCGGGTTCTCAGGTTTCCTCCCATTGCTAAATACCTGTACATGAAAGCAAATTATTGAAATAAAATTAACCATATGTTAGTCTTGAAATGAACTAGTTTGTACTGTGTGGACGTTAAACCCCATTCTCTCTCTCTCTCTTTACAGATTTTCATCTTATGAAATGAAATGAAATGAAATGAAACGGGGTTTAATGTCCTACTGTTCCGCTCTGTTTAGGCTAATGCAGAAGGTCATACGCCATGCAGTGTGCTATGAGAGAAATTTTGCCCAGACAACGGCACTACAGCCTACTCTTCTTTCAAATTCCATCTGCCAAGGGATTTTTTACATGCACGCCATTGTGTACACAGGACCTCAGTTTTTCATTCCCTCCTGCACTACTGACAAGGGTCAACCACGCCGGAAAATCACGATGTACTTTCTCAGCCAACACCGAAATTGAACCTGTTACTTCCAGGCCAGTGAGCCAGTGACTTACTTATAGTCACCGTGGCTTCCCAACCAAATGTCATCTGGACTTGACCCTAAATTCAACATCAGTTCGGTGCCCACTATTATTTTTGTCAATTGCAATTCTATTTTACATCAACAAAAGCATTTATAAATATTGAGAATTTAAAGTTTAAAGCATTTATAAATATTGGGGATTTACTTTGAAATATTTTAGAGTGCAAATGTTTGAAAACACGGATTGGTTATTAGCGGTGGAAAATCTTGTCCTAAATAGGTTTCCATCTATCGATCGATGTCTATAAATAACTGAACAGTCTGTCTTTGTTGGCCACTCGAAGCTTCCGTACACGACAAACCGGAAGTAACTGAAAGTAAATAAGCAAGATGGTGGACGAAGCCACGAAGCGAAGTTTAGCTCAGATTCCGTTATTAAAAACTAAAGCTGGACCACGAGATGGAGAACTTTGGGTGACACGATTAAAGGAAGAATATCAATCACTAATTAAGGTAAAAGTTTTATACGGTTTTATTCAGTATTCTGGGAAATATGATGAAATATATCCTAACATCTGGTCAATATTGTTGAAATAAAAAAAGTCGGAGTTTACAACAAAATAGGGAAGTTAGAGTTCATCTCTGAACGTAGGTCTCATTGCACTCGCCCTTAGTTACTTTAGTAACGTAAATTGTATCGGCTCTGCTCTCTTCGCCATACAATTTACGTTACTTAAGTAACTAACTCGCCCTGTACGTTCAGGAATCAACTTCTTATTGAATCCTTGTCGAAAATAAAATCGACCCCAGTCAGTTTTACTCATTCTGGGCAACGTTTTACTGCTAAACCGTTGTGTGCTGTCAGTCTCTGTGAACGCCTGAACAATGTAAAGGAACATTTTCGTGAGTAAATAAGACCTTGCATATAATTACCTCGCTAGTCAGTATGTGCAACACAAAATGCTGTTAAAAATACGTCCCCTTCTGCTAAATGGCTTGGCAGACACCATTGAAATCTAAATATATATAATTCGGCCATAAGACGAAACGATTTTATTTTCGACAATGATTCAATAGGACGGTTCCTGAACGTACAGGCGAATGTAATGAGACCTATGTTCAGAGCTGAACTAATCATGAGCCAGTATAGAGTTACTACATGGATGTCCGGGAATACAAGTTCTGAATTCGTAACCTGTCTGTTTCGTACCTAGTTCATAATAATAATAATAAATTATGTTATTATTTCAGTATGTTCAGAATAATAAAGAAAGTGATAATGACTGGTTTCGTTTAGAATCTAATAAAGAAGGTACAAGATGGTTTGGTAAATGTTGGTATATTCACGAACTCCTTAAATATGAGTTTGACGTCGAATTTGATGTAAGTAGGCCTATGATAAACAGTTTTCTAAGGGACATGGCCTCTTATAATGCACATATACTGTAAGCTTTTCTTAATCTGAAAAATGGGCACCCCCCCCACCTCCCTGGATCTGTGGCTGATGTACATTTCTGGCCCATATGTAGGTATATGCAGCTATGTAATGACATGTACGTTTTAATGAGATGAATAAAGTTTCAAGTTTTTGAAGATTATAATAGTAGTAATGTGATGAACGATACACCTGGCCAGCGACACCCAGACACTTATATACTGGGTGTGTTAATAGAGAGACCAGGCCTTCCACTTCAAAATTTTCACTTTTGGTCATTTTTGATAACATACAGAAATTTTGCAAAATAAATTCATATTTCATGGTTTTTATTCATGGTAGGGTATTGTGAATTCACGTGTCTATACCACTTTTTCAGCATGGTGTATGTTATGGACCACTAAGTAGGGTTAATAATAATAATAGTGTCATTTATAGAGTGCTAGTCCACACAGAAAGTAGGATCAATTCTGTACAATAAAAATTCAACACCAAGGCACGGCTATACATAATGTCTGAATAAATATGTCTTCAATAAGTTTTTGAATGTCGATAAGGCTGGGCGTTATTTTTGGCTGGGCGTTATCTTTAGGTGGATAGGAAGGTTGTTCCATTATCTTGCAGCAATGTATTTAAATGATTGTGTACCAAAAGACTTTAACCCGTTAACTGCGTAGGGCGTTATGTAACGTCCTGGACAACTGCCACTCACCTTGTGTAGGGCGTAATATAATGCCTTGGAGGTATTTTCCCCAACCTATTCTTCGAACACGATCGCAGCATGTGTGGGATGTTATATTATGCCTGGTCGAGGAAATCTAATTGAAGGGAGAGAACTCTATTTACCGTTAGTTTTAATATGGATTCAGACCACTAAAATTAGTATTCAGGAATGAAAAGGTCCAAAAATGACGTTTTTCGTCAAAAGATTAATTACACAATAGGGGGTAGTTAACGTTTTAAAAACTACGCAGTTAAGGGGTTAAGTTGTAGTTGGTAATCGTAACAAAAATTTTTTCATTTGATCGAAATGAAATGAAATGGTGTTTAACATCCTACTTTTCTGCTCCGACTGGGCAGGCAAAATTTTTCTCATAGCACACTGTATGACGTATGCCCATCTTCATTAGCGCAGTAGGATTTGGAACAGAACAGTAGGACGTTAAACCTCATTTCATTTCATGTACGAATTGCAGAATAATAGGAGGTTTAAAAACCCACATTCATTTTATGTAAAAAACATCAAAACGTATCTAAAGTATTAAAATTTATCTCCACAGATACCAATAACCTATCCAACAACAGCACCAGAAATAGCTCTACCTGAATTAGATGGTAAAACAGCCAAAATGTATAGGTAAGATTTCACAAAAACAGGTTGACCATGTTTAAAGGAAGGGGGTCATGGTGGCTAAGTGGGTAAAACACTGGCTCGCTAGCCAGGAGGTCGGGTGTTCGATCCCTGCATTGGCCGAGAAAGATCATCCAGATTTTCCGGTGTGGTTCCCCTTTGTCAGTGATGCAGGACGGAGGGCCTGACAAGTACAGTTGTCTAGCCGTTCGGATGGGACGAACAATCGAGGTCCCTTAGCGTGCACGTAAAAGATCCCTTGACAGTTGGAATTCGATATAAGAGTAAGCCATAGTGCCACTGTCCAGGCAAAATTTCCCTCATAGCACACTGTATGACGTATGCCTGTCTTCATTAGCCCAGTCTGGAGCAGAACAGTAAGACGTTTGGTTAAAAGGAAAAAAATAAAAAAGCCTGTAAGCTAACAGCGAAAAAAACAGGTGACATATTCTTTACAACTACATGTAACAAGTCTTTTCAAAAAAATGAATGGATGAACCCAGTGATTTCGCCCGTATATTCCGGACATGTCCAACGCTATTTTCCATACGTCCTAAATTGTCCGACCAGGAATATGCCCAATCGGACATCAAGAAATGGTTAATAATATTCCAAAATTCCAACCTCATTTTTGCGCTAGCCAATATTGAGCTGCGACCTTTATGTTAAATTGTATGGTGTTGATATAACATATTGAAGTAAAACATGGTGATGTTTTGATGTTTCAGAGGAGGTAAAATATGTTTAACAGACCATTTTAAACCGTTATGGGCCAGAAATGTACCTAAATTTGGAATTGCACATGCCATGTCTCTAGGGGTAAGTTTATGGAAATCTGTTCAGTGAGATTTGTCTACATTTAGTTTTGGGATCGTGGCTGTCGAGTGATAGCACTCTGGCCACCCGACCGACTCTCCTGTCCCGATGTTTTGGACCATGGTAGTCAAGTGATAGCACACTGGCCTCCCAATCCACAATCCTGTCCCCTGTTTGGGACTATGGTAGTCGAATAATAGAACACTGGCCTCTCAATTGCTGCTCCTGCCCGCGGTTTGGGACTAGGGTAGCCGAGTGATAGCACACTGGCCTCCCAACCGATGCTCCTGTCCTGAGGTTTGGGATAATGGTAGTCGAGTGATAGCACACTGGCCTCCTAACCTGCGTTCCTGTACCCAGATTTGGGACTATGGTAGTCGAATGATAGCACACTGGCCTCCTAACCTGCCCTCCTGTACCCAGATTTGGGACTATGGTAGTCAAGTGATAGCACTCTGGCCTCCCAACCGACACTCCTGTCCCCGGTTTGCGACCATGGTAGTCAAGTGATAGCACACTGGCTTCCCGATCGACACTCCTGTCCCCGGTTTATGACTATGGTAGTCGAATAGTAGCACACTGGCCTCCTGACCTGTGCTCCTGTCTTGAGGTTTAGGACTATGGTAGTCGAGTGATAGCACACTGGCCTCCTGTCCCCAGATTTGGGACTATGGTAGTCGAGTGATAGCACACTGTCCTCTCGACCGGCGCTCCTGTCCCAAGGTTTCGGACCATGGTAGTCGAGTGATAGCACACTGGCCTACCGACAGATGCTCTTGTCCCAAGGTTTGGGACTATGGTAGTCGAATAGTAGCACACTGGCCTCCTGACCTGCGCTCCTGTCCTGAGGTTTAGGACTATGATGGTTGAATAGTAGCACATTGGCCTCCCAACCCACGCTCTCCTTCCTTTCCCCGGTGTGATGACTATAGTTATCTGTAGACATACTATTATAGATAATACTGTATTTATTTCAGTTAGGACCATGGTTAGCTGTAGAGATTCCAGATTTAATACAGAAAGAGATAATATCACATAAAGGACGGGCTGATGAGAAATAGATGATTTTTTAATTTATTTATACAAACTGGAACTCAGAGGATTACACCGGGACTATGATGTGGGTCATTTTGACAAGGCAGTGTCAAGAACTTAAAGGAACATTAAATGTCTAACTGAGAAATCTACCTGTCATTTTCTAGACAAAGAAATTAAATTAATTACTGAGCTGTCACAGATTTTATATTAAATTAATTACTGAGCTGTCACAGATTTTATGTATTAAATTTAAATATCTATTTACCTTTTAGCTCATATTGTCATGCTGTTAAGAGTTCATCTATGAATTTGTTTAACTGATTACGTGTAATGTTGGTCAAAACACTACTGTTGGTATGGAAACTTGTGGTTCATCAGAATATTGTGTGTGACTACTGTTGGTATGAAAACGTGTGGTCCATCAGAATATTATGTCTGACTAATAAAAACGTTTCTAAGATTGTTTCATACAGAACCAACTAGAGCTGCAACGATTCAGTTCGGTGCACCGATAACCGACACTAGCTGTCTCGGTTCGATCCACGATCTACAACGTTCAAATTTCGATTCGGTTCAATTTCAAATAAAAACAATGTACACCTTACCATATGAAAAAAAATGAAAGACCTGTAGCAATTAAGTCCACTTAAAATTTAAAAAAACTTTGTTTTTACGTAACTTTTAATTTACGTTATTTAACAAAACACGAATGTCACTCGAAAACATAACTAAAACAGAGTGACCTCCCTTTAAAACAATTTCCGTATGCTGGCGAAAGTTAATTTATTTAAAATTGGTGACGTACCGAATGTTCATTGGATGTTAATTTAGGTCAATAGCTTCGGTAATCGTTATATAAATTCTAAACGATCTCATTAGCTGATAATTCCGGTCATTATCTTCGGATATTTTTGTGTTTAGCGATTATTACCCATAGTCAAGCAAACACTGGAAGGTAAAATTATGGCAGACAACGTACTTTCTCGACCACCTGGTCATTTGAAATCTAAAGTTTGGGATCATTTTGGTGTAAAAAAAACCTCTAAAGATGTGGCAACTTGTAGAGTATGCTTCACTGACATATATATAGAAAAAATTACTGGTTATTGTAGCTGATAATCGAATCGAAAATAATCGAATCGAATGGTTAAAATCGATAATCGAACCGAATCGAGGTAGTTGTGAATCGTTGCAGCTCTAGAACCAACTAGTTTTACTCTGTAAAATGTTTCTTGTATGGCTCCATTAAATTGTTTAAGATTGGGACCATACAATCTTATTCAGTAATTTTCTGTTAAAAGTTATTTGATATTTTATAAAGCAAGAAATGAATTAAGGAAACAGACTTAAGAAAATTTAAACTATAAAATATTTTAAGAAGAGTGTTGGTTCATTTGCTTAATTCTTACCCACTTTATCAACGAGTGTTGATATTTTTTGATATCAAAAAAGACGAATAGGAGATTTTATTTATCACCCAATCCCTTCTTACATGCACAAATAGATAAATATAATTCTTTGCTGTAGATTTCACTTTTACTGAACATTATGGCGTAGTGATACATCATTTTTTGACAGCAATTCAACTATTGCAAAGTCCTTTATATTGGCCCAGTGTTTCCATCAAGGTCAATTGAATAACAATAGTTCATTTTTTTTAAAAAAAAAGTTACTTTTAATGAGAAATGAACTGTTCTTTGAAAATAAAAAAAAGTAGTTCCTTTTCAACTGACCAATCAAATTCATGTAAAGCGATATCTCAAGGAGATATCGCAGTAGATTATGAAATATATCACACAAGCGATATCTACTGTAGATTATGAAATATATCACACAAGCGATATCTACTGTAGAATGTATTATTGGGTGATAATATAAAATAGTAGGACATTTTAAACTCAATCTGAATAAAATACAGATCTATATTTCATTTTGTTTTTTTATACTCTCGATGGTCTACACTACATGAAGATCTGATCGGTTGTAGTGAAAGGTCGTGTCAGGGGTCATAGGAGCAGCTTTTGACCCTATGACATCAGACATTTGATTAACCAATCAGCGTTGATGTTTCTAGTGGGATATCCACAACTCCATGCATCGCATGCCAAGAACTCGCTGTAACATACCCTTTCATTGACTAATCCCTCAAATCAACCAGAACTCAACTCATCCAGATCCTAGTATAGTAAAAATAAAAGGATAAGTAAACCGAAATTTTGATCTATAAAAAACGAAAGTAAATAGGATCTGTGTTTTAATCAGATTGTTACAAACCCAATTAATGTGGAAGAGATAAAATAACTCGGATGCCATTCAGAAATCTAACACCAACATGAAGCTTTTATCTGTGCTATTCAGACTTATGTTTGATCATATTTGCGATGTTAAGAAAGGGAATTTTTCGGACAGCAATGTTACCGCCCTACTCTTTTTTTAAGGTATCAAACTGTTATTTTGCATGCGCTGTATCTACACAGGTAGTATCTACACAGGTAGTATCTACACAGGTAGTATCTACAATCTGTTAAGATCCTAAGCGGTTTTATTATATAAATTCTGTAAAATTAAATGAATAAAATATTGTTTAAATAAATCTATACTGGTGAACCATGATCCTTCTTACCTGAGAGAAATGGGGTTTAACGTCCACTTGACACAAACTAGGTCATTTCGGGACTAACATATGGTTTAATTTTATTTCAATAATTTGCTTGCGCGTAGGGGTCTTTAGCAGTGGGAGGAAACCAGAGGACCCGGAGAAAACCCACGAGGTTGGACAGACGACCCTACTCCTTGTCATATACAACCGGGGAATCGAAACCACGCCAGTTGACTCAATGACAGACTTTATGATACAGCGCGCAGTGCTAACCATTCAGCCATCCAAGCCCCCTTCTTACCTGAGGGAACCTTCATAGTCGAAATGAAATGGGGTTTAACGTCTTAATGTTCTGCTCCAACCGGGCTAATGAAGACGGGCACATGGCAGCGGCACTATGGCCTATTCTTATATCGAATTCCAACTGTATACATGGGACCTCAGTTTTTGGTGGCCTCTGAACGACTTAGACACCGTCACTGACAAGCTGACAAGGGAAAACCACGTCGGAAAAATCCCGATGAACATTCTCTGCCAATGCAGGGGTCGAACATGCTGACCTCTTCTTGTCCTGCTCAGACTCAGTGTTTTACCGCTTTATTACTACAGACAGGTAATAAAACAGCTTATACAAGATGACATGTTGAGTAGTGTTAATAGTTTTATATTTTACCCGCGATATATACTCTTCAAAAAAACAGTAGGGGATATTCAGAAACAATACAAATCTGCGGAAATACACTGCTGTTTTTATTGGAGGTAACCAATGTATGTTAATAACAGGCAAATTGCCTACAGATGAACATAAACAGTTCATATGGGCGGCTTATCTGACGGCCCCATTTCACTCGCAAAGAGATACACTGTCAAAAGTGAAATAGACGTTTTTGATTGGTGTAATTGCTGCAACAATCCTCAGACATTCTGCAATTCGTCTCGTGGCATGCTCCTAATCAACCGTCCAATCACGATTTGGGGCAATCTGACCCACTCCTCTTGCAGTGCTACGGCCAATTCTTGCAGTGTTGTCGGTTGACGTTGACGTCGACGAACACGTCTCCCGATCATGTCCCAGAAAGGTCAGGACCCATGGCTGGCCAAGGCATATGGACAATATGGTGACGCTGGAGGTAGTCATTCAGGACACGAGCGCGGTGGGCACGGGCATTGTCATCTTGAAAGATGAAAAATCGAACTGCACGTTGAGCAAAGGGCAGAACTATCGGTGCCAGGATGTGGTCACGGTAGTACACACCAGTGACCCTTCCATGAACAAAATGCAAGTCCGTTCTGCCAGCCATGGCGATTCCTCTCCACACCGTAACAGACCACCACCCGAATCTGTCATGCTGTCTGACGTTAACGTTAGCATGACGCTCATTTACAAGAGTCCAAACTCGAGCAAGCCGATCGGTGAAATCCAGAGTAAATCTGGACTCATCTAAAAAAAAACATTACACGCGCCCATCGACGATTACCCCAATTTCTACGCTGTCTGCACCAATGACGCCTGTTTGCCATGTGCTGGCGAGTTAATGGAGGCACAACACGCGGCCGTCGCGCATGCAAATGGGCTGCATGTAGCCGATTTCTAATCGTTTGGGCATTCTGTTTTACAGACCTAATGCGACATCCGTCTTTTATCTCTGTCCAAGATGACTGACCTTTAAAAGGTCAGACCGCTGTAGTTCTAAGGGTGACGTCACATCACACTGTTTACCAACAAAGCAAGATGGCATCGATAACGCCAAAAAAGATTACTTCTGTGGCTTGTTTTTGTTGTTTTAAAACAAACACGAGCAGGTCAATCAGATTAGACGGTAAAAATGTACTTCTGAAAGAATTCAGAGTAAACAAACAGAAAAAAACGTCAAATTGATGGTCACACGTGCGTTGTTTACATTGAACGTAGTAATATGAACTGGTATGGGCAAAATTATATCGTTTTACCCATTTTACGCCTCCGCGTACTATTTTCTGTACCTATTTACGCTAAATATGGAATATTTTTTATCAAGATATACTTCAAACACCTTTATTTATTTCTCTAATACTAAAAAAAATGTTTCAGAATTTAATTTGTCGAAAGAAAAAAGTTAATATTTTGTAGTCATTAAGTCGCATCGATGTCATCCTTATCAGTGATTGTAGCGGCCAAGCGAATATTCACTGCGGATCAGTGTGTCGTTTGGGGTGTAAATCGAATTCTTGTAGCTTGGTACAAGTTTACAGAAAGCTGATTGGCCGTTTGTCCTCGATTTCGCAGGACCTGTGCACGAATGTATCGATCCTGGTCTTGTGTAGTGGCTCTAGGAGGACCTGAACGAGTCTATCATCAACATTGTGTGTTTGTTGGTACCGGTTCCACAGTCTGCTGATCACAGACTGTGACACATTAAGCATGTGGGCTACTTGAAGCATGTCAATAGCACGTAGACGTTCATCAAGTTGAAGACGTCTCTTTGCAAATTAAACGTAACACACTAAAGCAAAGATACGCTAAACAGTAAATCTTATGCAAGAACCGATAGGAAAGCAAACATGGATAGGATAAACCAGCACGCGGCAGTTTTCATCAACCATTCCTTGAAGTGTCAAATTCGACAATGAACCCCTCCCACGTGTATGGCGCTTTTGCGTCTCGCACCTGCAGCTCAGTGGTTCTGTTGGGGCGATAAGTTCTTCATCTGTGAACATACTCTCAACGCATGTCAAGTGTCCATGACTATTTATCATATCACAACGTGCATAGGTATTTGCGTTTCAATATCTCCAACTTTTTTTGAAGAGCATATATACGAACTACTGTGTGAGGTCAACCGCAATCTATTTATTGCCCTATGCTGGAGTGGATGCACATGAAATTTGTAAACTGACCGGGCAACAGAACAAACAAAGTTTAAGTTCATATAATTATGATTCAAGTTCCAAACAAAAACTCGAGTATTCAAATATTTTGCAAGGGTATGGGTCTAACCCACGGCCACAGTCTGCACACACGATATTATCCCACGCATCTTTGCCAATTCCTTGTAACTCCAATACTTCTTTGTCTTCGCACAATTTCCAGTATCAGTCACTGGGTGATTTCTATTTCCAATTCTTCTGTTGTTGTAAAAAATTATTTTAAATGAGTTCATTTCTCTCTCAATTTAAGCCTCACGTTCTAAATGATTCAGGCATGGTTAAATGGACAATACACCCCCTCTAAATACGTAACAGGAAGTATTTATCTCCTAATTAGATAATGACAAACAGTTACAGTGTATTAAATACTGTCAAACAGTTACATTTTATTAAATACTGTCAAACAGTTACATCTTAGTAAATACTGTCAAAAAGTTACATCTTATCAAATAACGACAAAAAGTTACATCTTATCAAATAACGACAAAAAGTTACATCTTATCAAATAACGACAAAAAGTTACATCTTATGTCCTATTAAATAACGACAGTTAGAGTAAGTACGATGTTTATTAACATTCATTAATAAGTATATGTATTATACTTATTATATGCATGACAATTAGTATATGGATGATAAATATTAATTAGTATATTCATTAATAAGTATATGTATGATACTTAGTATATTATTATTATTATTATTATTACAGCATATTTATAGTGCACCCTTTCATATAACATGTTCAGAGGCACTTTACAAAGTGACAATGTAAATCACACATAAACAACAAGATTATGGGCATGTTAACGATTGTATACAGAGTCAGTTAAAAGCCTGATTAAATAAATGTGTTTTAAGTTGTTTTTTAAAAGAATACAGAGATGTACAACATCTTAAACTAAATGGTAGATTATTCCATAAAACAGGTGCTTGATAACTAAAAGAGCGCTGACCATAGGAGACTAGTTGAACAGTTTTGGGCTTTAAAAGTAGTTTATCTGATGTACGTAATGTTCGACCAGGTGTATAAAGTTCTAAAAGATCTGAGAGGTAAACAGGAGCTAAATTATTTAAACATTTAAAAGTAAGTAATAAAATCTTAAAATCAATTCGATATTTAACAGGTAACCAGTGTAAATTATATAAAACAGGAGTTATGTGGTCACATTTCTTAGTTAAAGTAACAAGCCTAGCCGCAGTATTCTGTACTTTTTGTAATTTATCTATATGCTTTAAAGGTAAACCAACTAAAAGTGAATTAAAGTTATCTAACCGAGAAGTGACCAGAGAATTAACAAGTGACTTATTGGCCTCTACAGTTACACATTTACGTATTTTACCTATATTTCTAATATTAAAATAGCACAATTTACAAATATTATTTACTTGAGCTCCCATAAGCATAAAAGATAGCGCCAATATTACGAGCAGAATAAGATGAAAATATATCACAATTACCAATTACAACAGGGGGGGGGGGGGTTATCTTGTGCAGATTTACTTAATTGATGCCTTGAGCCTAATAACAAATATTCGGTTTTATCATCATTCAATTTTAGAAAGTTCTTTGACATCCATTTTCTAGTTTCACTAATACAGTTCTCAAGTTGCAATTTTGATAAATTGAAAGAAGATGGACAATTAGGTGTAAATGAAATATATAATTGAGTATCATCGGCATACAAATGAAAGCTGAGACCATATTTTCTGACAATATCTCCTAATGGTGACGTATAGAGGGTAAATAAAATCGGACCAAGAACAGAACCTTGGGGAACCCCAGATGACAAAACAGATTCAGACGACGATTTGCAATTAACTAAAATACACTGTTTTCTACCCACAAGATAGCTCTCTAAAAGATTTAATGCAGAGCCACAAATACCGAATTTAAATTGAAGTCTACGTAGAAGAATGGAAGGGTCCACCGTGTCGAAAGCAGCAGATAAATCTAATAAAATTAAAAATGTACATTTTCTATTATCAATTTCCATTAAAATATCATTTGAAACCCGGGTTAAAGCTGTTTCGGTACTGTGAAATTGTTTATAAGCACTTTGAAATGGTTCATACAAACAGTTATCATCTAGATGGGCCTTTATCTGAGAAGCAATACATTTCTCCAATATTTTAGAAATAAAACTTAAGTTAGAGACTGGCCTGTAATTTTTAAAAACATTAGGATCCAGTGTAGACTTTTTAATTAAAGGGGTAACATAAGCTCGTTTGAAAACGTTGGGAATAGTAGCGGATGATATACAAGAATTAATAATATTGGTAAAAACTGGAATAACTTCGTCTAGACAGTCCTTAAGAACAGAAGTCGGAACAGGATCTAATGAACAAGATTTAGGAGCAGACGATTTAATTAGCTTTAAAATAAAAGATTCACTAACCAAGTTAAAATTTTCTAAATAAACAGAATTTTCTAACTTATCAAAATCATGAGCGTTAAAGTCAATAGTTTTATTTAAATCATCAAGTTCAGTTCGTATTTTCTGTATTTTTATTTGAAAGAAATCAGAGAATAAATTTGCAAGTTCAGTGTCATTATCATTGTCCGGGAGGATAGTACGCTCAGCATTATGGTCCAAAAGGGAATTCATAACTTTATACAGGTCTTTTTGTCTGTTTTCGCCATTTTCTATTTTATCAGAGTAAAATTTAATTTTAGCATCATCAATTAATTTATTCACATTGTTTTTTTAAAGATTTATAAATCTGTTTATGGACATGTAGATTTGTTTTCCGCCACAGATGTTCAGCCTTATTACGGTCCCTTTTGGCTTCTAAAATAGAATCATCAAACCACTGCGTATTGGGACATGCATGGTAATTAGTTTATGGATATAAAATATAATTAGTATATGGTAAATAATTATAGTGTATGTATGATAAATATTAATTAATGTATAATGATAAATATTAATTAATGTATAATGATAAATATTAAGTAGTATATGTAAAATAATTATAGTGTTTGTATGATAAATATTAATTAATGTATGATAATTATTAATTAGTATATGTAAAATAATTATTAATTAGTATATGTATAATAATTTGAATATGTATGACAATTATTAATTATTATAATGTATGATAATTATTAATTAGTATATGTATTATAATATTAATTAGTGTATGTATGATAATTATTTATTAGTATATAATGATTAATGATTAGTATATGTATGATAATTCACTAGTATGGGGGGGGGGGTTATAAATGCGATAATTATTAATTACTATATATATGATGTTCACTAGTATAGGAAAGATTGTTATAAAATGACGGGGGTGTTCCTGACAGTATTTCTAGGTAAATATTATTATCTGTATCAAGTCTGTTACCATCAGATATACTACTATAATTAGTACCAGTATCAAGTCTGTTAACATCAGGTAGACTACTATAGTCAGTACCAGTATCAAGTCTGTTACCATCAGATAGACTACTATAGTTAGCACCAGGCTCTATGTCTGTACCAGGAATTGGAAGACTATTATAAGAAATGTTTGAATTTCTGATTTCTAATTCCTGGTAATCACTATCTGTATTATGTCTGTCTGTATCAGGGTCTGGTGGAGTTATCGCCCTTGAATTCTCCGTTCTAACATTACCTGGTTGATTTAGACATCGTAATTTACCTGTCCTGTAACAATAAAAATAAGCAAACCCATTATATAACAGAACAATTGACCGGACAGGGGCTTTTCTACCTACAAAACAGGTCAGCACTAATGTGTGTGTACACGGGACCAAAGTTTTTCGTTCCATCCGAATAACTAGAAGCTGTGAATGACCTAATCTGATTATTATAAAGAAAGTGGATAATATAGAAACTGATAAACAATAATTTAAATTTTTTACCTGTACATGACAAACAACACTATGATAGTTACCACTACCACTAAAAGAGATAATATAGTAGCCAATACAATGATGATGATATTTTTAACTGAAATAAATAATAATACTTCCAAAATTACTATAGCTTTCCGCAATGTATAAAGCGAGCGACGACGAGAGGCACACAGATGTTATAGAACATTAGACGAGTTGTCGTCATGTTTACATTATGAATATATTGAAATACATTAGATGATAGTGTATGAAATACATTATATGATAGTATATGAAATACATTAGATGATAGTGTATGAAATACATTATATGATAGTATATGAAATACATTAGATGATAGTGTATGAAATACATTATATGATAGTGTATGAAATATATTATATGATAGTGTATGAAATACATTATATGATAGTGTATGAAATACATTATATGATAGTGTATTAAATACATTATATGATAGTGTATGAAATACATTATATGATAGTGTATGAAATACATTATATGATAGTGTATGAAATACATTATATTATAGTGTATGAAATACATTATATGATTGTGTATGAAATTAAATTTTGTTGTTAATGGTGATGAATTTAATTTTGCTATATTGAGTCAAATTTTTAAACTATATCCAGTCAAATTTTATTATATCCGGAGTCAAATTTTACTATATCCAGTCAAATTTGTCTATATCCAATGACATTTTACCATTGTTGTCTGTGTATTGTGTTGTACTGTCTAATGGATTGGTTGTTGTTTGTGATGATGTTTCAGATGAAGTGCTGGGATCGGTTGTAGTGTTGGAAGGTCTGCTATTTACTGTAGTGGTAGATGATGTTTCAGATGAAGTGCTGGGATCGGCTACAGTGCTGGAAGGTCTGCTATTTACTGTAGTTGTACTGGTAGAAATCCCACTCCTTGTTGTACTGTCTAATGGATTGGTTGTTGTTTGTGATGATGTTTCAGATGAAGTGCTGGGATCGGTTGTAGTGCTGGAAGGTCTGCTATTTACTGTAGTGGTAGATGATGTTTCAGATGAAGTGCTGGGATCGGCTACAGTGCTGGAAGGTCTGCTATTTACTGTAGTTGTACTGGTAGAAATCCCACTCCTTGTTGTAGTACTGTCTGGTCGTGGTGGGGAAGTAAATGGTGTGGTGGGTGTTGGTGTAACAGTTGTTGCACGTGTATTATTACAGAACCCTGTCAAAGATATACCTGTAAAAAGAGAATAAACCGACTTTCAAACAACACAGGGTATGAATCGTTCATCTACTTTTACTTTGTGATATAACAGTGGTAGACGGAGAGATATAATTTCTGTTTGTCAAGTACCGAGAACAAATTGCAAAAGAATTTCTTTCACTGGAATCTAGTAAAGGGATGTCTTAAGGACTCCCAACTCAAAATTGTCAACTGAAACCCTGTAGCGTTTTTCATAATTAGCATAAATCCAAGATGGCCGCCAATTGGAATTTCTGGCCTCCATATCTTGGAAACGGCTCGTTTTAGAGCAATAAATGTATTATCATTAGATACAAAAGTGATATCAACGAATCGAAAAAAATTTATCACGACGCCAGCAGGTCATGGTGTGACGTCATGACGGCATTGTGACGTAATGACGTCACACTGACGTTATGTTGACGCCAAAACACTTAGTCCGGCAGAACTATGGCTGAACCTGGAAGTTGTACACAATCATATGCTTCTATGTCCATAAATATATAGTTTGGTCCGGTGAAATAATTATTGTCCAAACTGCCGCTATCGAGTTAAAGGGCCATATTGTCTGGCATTTTAGATTTTACTATCATCTAATCACCCCACAACATAATGAATAATTTCAGTGTATTCCTTGACCCGAGTAACATACGTTTAAACCCAAATATTATCGTCCTAGAATAAATACTATGGGAGTTATGGGGGATTATTTGAAATGGCGGCCGTCTTGGACGCCATCTTGAATTTCGCAAAACGCTCAAGGGTGACCGGAGTTCACCCGGCAGATTCTGAAAGAGGACACGATAGGCTACTAAAATCAATCCTAAAAAAACTTTATAGACAATTTCCACATTCACTCGAAATATTGAGGTTTGACGACCGGGCAAAATGCTTTTTGATACCGAATAAGCGGGTTTGACGTTAGTTCTGGTGTCTTAGAGAACTAAGAATAAGCGAGCTGAGAACTAGTTTGTTTTTGTAACACTGACTGGATTGGAATTCAATCTGGTGAGTGAAATTCTATCTGCACTGTACATGCACATGAGCATTAGGAGGGGTGACCGAAATGTCCAACCGGTGAAGCTGAGCAGCCTGATTGATTACATTCGATCCCTTGGTGGTGAGCTTGACAACATCCAAACCATTATTTAGATTATTGTCGCAAATTATGCACGTATCCATGGCGAAATACGGCACTTTTCACAAAATTAGCAAAAAAAGTTTCAAATATCTGGGGAAAACCCAGACTGGATTGCAAGTCAATCACCAGAGCTTAACACAATGGTTCTCAACCCTTTTTTGCCAACGGCACACCTTGGAACACATGAAAAAATAGCGGCCCACCTGGCTAAATATATATGAAAAATATTTGAAGTTTGCAAATTAAAACATGGCAAGTCACAGACGGCATACAACCGTAGACACAGACTAGTCATAGACAAATAGAATGACTCAAATTAAATAAAAAAAACCCCTCAGCTATGAACTTACCAGTGAATACTCGTTTGGGATCACGTGGTTTTTCCCATTTTCTTAGTGTGTCGTTCAAAATTTCGCTGCTCACTTATGAAGATCTCGCAGCATACCTGACTTAACAACATCCCCACTATTAATTAGGTTATTGCCGCCAATTATGCACGTATCCATGGCGAAATACAACTCTTTTCACAAAATTAGCATAAAAAGTTTTAAATATTTGGGGAAAACACAGACTGGATTCCAAGCCAATCGCAAGAGCTTGACAACATCCCCACCATTATTTAGGTTATTCCCGCAAATTATGCACGTATCCATGGCGAAATACGATTCTTGTCACAAAATTAGCAAAAGAAAGTTTCAAATATCTGGGGAAAACCCAGACTGGATTCCAGTCCAATTAGTCAGTGTCACAAAAACAAACTAGGTCACAGCCCGCTTATTCTGAGTTCTCTAAGACATCAGAACTCACGTCAAACACGCTTATTCAGTATCAACGCAGTGTTTTGACGTCACAATAACGTCAGTGTGATGTCATGACGTCATTGTGACGTCAGGGCGTCACACTATGACCTGCTGGCGTTGTGATAATTTTATTTTCCGATTCGTTGATATCCTTTTTGTATCTAATGATAATACATTTATTGCTCTAAAACGAGCCGTTTCCAAGATATGGAGGCCAGAAAGTCCAATTGGCGGCCATCTTGGATTTATGCTAATTATGAAAAACGCTACAGGGTTTCAACGGACAATTTTGAGTTGGGAGTCCTTTAGACACCCCTTTACTAGATTCCAGTGAAAGAAATTCTTTTGCAATTTGTTCTCGGTAGTTTTTTTATTTCTCTCCGTCTATGGTGGATGTTAGCCAATATAGGGTTTATATAGTACAGGGTATGAATCTTTATCTATTTTTACTTTGTGGGATACCTGTGGAGGATGTTTGAAAATTATCAGATTCAACTTTTCTATCTGCTCACTTTCATATTTTACGACTTTTGGTGGTTACATCGATGAAGATTGTTACTCCAACCCGAATAACTTGTTAGATATTTGATTTAATAAGTATTATTTAAGATTCAAGATTTACCTTGTATTTCAATCCATAGTTTTAGTCCATTTATTTGTTGATGGGTAAATATAATTTCAGCTGTTTGTGTTGTTGTTTGTAGTCGGTGATTATAATCTAGTAGAGAGGATTGACGGTTACTGGTTCTATTATAAGTTATATCCCCATATTGTATAAATAAATTAGATCTTGTTCCATCCTTAGATGTTTTTAATACAAGATCTAATATAGTTATAAATGTTATAGTTGTACTACGTATAAAACATTCACAGCCTATTTCATTTAGATTAAAACCACTCGCTGCTGTTGGATAATTTGGTGAAAGCAGATATATCCTGGCTGAATTATCTGATAAATTTGTTTTGCTTTGACAAATATCTTGACCATTTTCTCCTGTAATAGAAACATATTATAATGATGAATCCAATATCATCATTTATATTTTTCTACATTATTAAAGCTACTCGCCGCTTCTAGATAATTTACTGATGTTCTTTTAGCGAGAATATATCTGGACAGTTGTACCCGTTTGATTATTACATATCTTATATATGAAATATTGCACACTTTATTATATAACCATCAGTGTTAGCCCGAGTATTCGAGTATTCGATCGAAATAGTCTGATATTCGAAATGTGACTATTCCTACCGGTTTGATTATAATAGTTGTAATATAACTTATATAAAATAATAGACACTTTATTATATAACTACCAGTGTTCACGAGTATTCCATCGCAGATCTCCTATACGAATATTCGAACACTAGTCTAAGTATTGATCCAGTGCTTGTATCATTTTGTAAATTGGAAATCGAGAGAGAGAGAGAGAGAGAGAGAGAGAGAGAGGGAGAGGAGAGAGATGGGGTTTAACATCTAATCGACACAAACTAGGTCATTTCGGGACTAATATATGGATCAATTTTATTTCAATAATTCGCTTGCGCGTAGGGGTCTTTAGCAGTGGGAGGAAACCGGACGACCCGGAAATAACCCACGAGGTTGGAAAGGCGACCCCACTCCTTGTCACGTATAACAGGTTAATCGAAACCACACCAGTTGACTCAATAAGATGCAGCGCACACACGCTAACCATTCGACCATCCAACACTGTTATAGTATTTGCACTCGGCAAGCCTCAACAGATTCCAGTACCCTACATCTAATCTCGGCTGTATGACAAAGTCCGCCATTAGAACTACTTTTAAGTTCCCGGATTACAATGGCGTTGTCCATGACGACCAATGACGTGATTGATGACGACGTATTTGAAGAATGTTTTATCTTACAAAATTTTCAAAGTTTGAAGCTTTTCTTTCAAGTTTATCCGATTTTCTTTAGACAAGGACAAATTTGCACTGAAAATTCTACACACTCTTCGAACGACGCAATTTTGAGAACTTCTTTCTAAACGCATGCAAGTTTCCCTTTTAAGTAAACCGGTGCCGCATCGCAAATGTATAGGCGTAGGTACATATCACTTACTGTCATACAGCCGAGGCTAGATGTAGGGTACCGGAATCTGCCAAGGTTTGCCGAGTGATAGTATTTGGTCTTTAAATCAGGTTCAGATGACAAGACTATGGAAAACCAAATGGGACAATATTCATGATTCTTGTTTCTACATTCCAGTTTGAACATTTTAGACACGAACGCAACATTCTAAACTAATGATTCTTGTTTCTACATTCTTATGTCAACATTTCATGCACAAAATCAACATTTTAAACAAAAAATGGACTTTATGTTTCATTCTCGGCGGTTTATCGGTAACTTTTATATATCATTAAATATTAAAATTAAAAAATAATTTCTTGATTTTACACGACAAAGAAATCAATTCATTGATTTCTGAAAGTATCTAAAAACAAATCTGGAATTTGAACTCTTATGAAAATATTTTCTACGTTTCAAAAAGTCTTGAAGTTAAAATCTTGAAATGAAAACGTCCAGAAAAATATAATGAATTATCAACATTATTACACCAGAGGGCGTTAGCGTATGTGTACAACTTTGATACAGACTATAGATTAGAAATCAAAAGTAGACTTTTCCACGAGTGGAAGTGGGCCCCTGTTGTGTTTACAGTAATTAGTTACATGAAACAGAAATTAAGCCCGAGGTATAATAACAATACAAATAACTTCTATAATTTAAACAACTAGAAATATTAGGACAAAGGCCTTTCTTTACGGTGGCTGATAAGGGACATGAAAAATAATATAATTTGTTTTTTTTTAATATTCACCCAAGTCAATTTCAATATAATTTGTTTTTTATAATTTTCACCCAAGTCAATTTTAATTTTCACCCAAGTCAATTTTAATATAATTTGTTTTTTGTAATTTTCACCCAAGTCAATTTTAATATAATTTGTTTTTTATAATTTTCACCCAAGTCAATTTTTATATAATTTGATTTTTATAATTTTCACCCAAGAATTTCCACCCAGCGCGTGACGTCAACTCAATTAGCCTCGTTTCCAAAACACTAATGACCTAGTTTGTGTCGAGTGGACGTTAAACTCTCTTTCTCTCTCTCTCCCTCTCTCTCTCTCTCTCTCTCTCTCAAAGTTTGCGTACGAGGGGCGACCATTTTGTCCGGCAGTTTCGATCCGATTTTCAGAAAATTCGAACTCAATCATCATTAGGGCGTAACGGTGATATATTCAAACGTTTTTTTTAAATCGGATACAAATTGTGACCTCTAGAGGGACCACAAGCTAAAAACGAGATTTTTCGTACAATCAAGGATCGTAATTCAGAAAGTTAAGATCCGATAAGCGCGAATATCGAAAGAAACCAGATAATAATTGTGACCTCTAGAGTGTCCACACACTAAAAAAAGTGACTTTTCGTCCAATCAGGTGCCATAATTCATGAAGTTTCAATCAGTGGACACATCGGCCGAATCGTTCGGCCGAATCAATCGTCGCCGAATTTTATTCGGCCGAATGGGTGGACACACTAGCCGAATGCTTCGCCCGATTCAACCTGTCGATTGCATCACCTTCCACGTCACATGATTAAACATGGCGGCGTCTATGTTTTCAATATATCACGTGACTTCTCGATATGAGTGGTGACTGGCTAATGAATTCTATATTCGGCCGAATGCTTCGGCGAAGCGGACACACCAGGCGAATATAATTCGGCCGAATATATCGAACCTGTTTGATTCGGGCGAATTCGGCCGAATGACAGTGGACACACTAGGCGAATTTCGACGCCGATTGATTCGGCCGAATCATTCGGCTAGTGTGTCCACCGCTTAAGATAAAACCAATGACGTATAGACGTCATTGGATAAAACTTAATACATTACAATGGAAACGAGGCTAATTGAGATGACGTCACGCGCTGGGTGGAAATTCTTGGGTGAAAATTATAAAAATCAAATTATATTAAAATTGAAAATTATAAAAATCAAATTATATTAAAATTGAAAATTATAAAAAACAAATTATATTAAAATTGACTTGGGTGAAAATTATAAAAAACAAATTATATTAAAATTGACTTGGGTGAAAATTAAAATTGACTTGGGTGAAAATTATAAAAAACAAATTATATTAAAATTGACATGGGTGAAAATTATAAAAAACAAATTATATTAAAATTGACTTGGGTGAAAATTACAAAAAACAAATTGACTTTGGTGAAAATTAAAATTGACTTGGGAGAAAATTATAAAAAACAAATTATATTATTTTTCATGTCCCTTATCAGCCACCGTATTTCTTACATATTTGCTGTTATTTGTTTACTTTTTCATATGTTTACAAATTAGACCTACGCGTGTTTCGAATATGGCAAAAATGGATGATAATGCTGTGTTTTAAATGGAATCTATTCACTGTTATTTGTTTACTTTTTCATATTAACTATAACTATAGGATAGTGTTTGCAAATTTAGACCTACGCGTGTTTCGAATGTGGCAAAAATGGATGATAAATCTATAGTTTGTATGAAAGTTGTATACATACGCTATGTACACATAAACGTTGACATAAGAATGTAGAAACAAGAATCATTAGTTTAGAATGTTGCGTTCGTGTCTAAAATGTTCAAACTGGAATGTAGAAACAAGAATCATGAATATTGTCCCATTTGGTCTTCCATACAAGACTAGTTTAACATCTTCTAATACTTTTATTCTCTGATTCTTAGATATCAAGTACAAACATCGTAATGTTAAAGACATCCAGAACTAACTTGTATTGAGGGAGCCATGGCCTAGCTTGGCACAAATATACGCTCTCACTCGTTCCGTCGCGTCTCGTGCCAAGGCGCTCTCGTGTCCTGGCCGGACCTGACAGGCCAACCACATGTCATTAGCAGAACGGAAAATGGCGTTTGTTGTCCCGATAAGGAAGAATACGTTATAGATATACATATTCTACACATCATATCCACCATAGAGCGTATAGAACTCACAGTAAAGTGACCGACAAGGAAAGATATAGATTTTCATATTATACATATCATATTTAGATTTCATATTTTCATATTATACACATCATATTTAGATTTCATATTTTCATAAAATCCTTGAAAAATGATGGGTAATGCATATTTTGACTAATTCAAGATGTATTTTATTGACAAATATCTCTGTTAATCTATATGAACACGTAGCCATTTCTTACTATGATATAATATTTAGATCTATCAGTTGGGCTATGAAATATAACATATCCTTCCTTGTCGGTCACGTTTTGAAATACTATGGGCAATTCTAACAATAGAAACTCTCTCGGTGATCACTAGAACCAGAGAGGTTTTTTACACTTTCTAATAAGGATTAACTTAAATTATACGTGGCCATGGTATAAACTATAATAGATGGTTGGGATATATTAATTGCATGTTCTGGTTTCTTGTATTTTTTGGTAGCAATTGTTAGAATATTTGAGATAGAGAGAGAGAGAGAGAGAGAGAGAGAAATGTGGTTTAAAGTCTACTCGACACAAACTAGTTCATTTAAGGATTAACAGATGGTTCAATTTTAGGGGTCTATAGCCGATGGACCCGGAGAAAACCCACGAGGTTGGACTGGCGACCCTACTTCATGTCACGTTCCAACTGGGAATTAAAACTACGCCACATGACTCATTGACAGACCTTGTGATTTCGCGCGCACTAGACCCCCGCCGCCACATGAAGTCAATATCTAAATATGTTTTCTTACTTGAAATACATCTATAGTTAACAGTACTTCCTGTACAATTACTATAATTACTTATAAATTGTGAACATGGTGATGGTTGTCCAATACAAGATGTTATTAACCCTGTATCACTATTAGTCAATGGTTGACCACATATCTCTGTAGAACCACCACAACTAGATCCTTGATTATAGAAATACACGATACTCTCTACATGTATCATATCATCATTGGTAGGACAATTCAGATTCACTGATGGGAAGTTTCCACCTTCTTTACATACTGTAATATCTATACCTATATATAAGAAAATGTGAATATTAATTAATACATGGTATTGTTTCATCGTTGGAACAATTTAATGTCTCAACATTTTAACAAAGATTTTAAAATACCTGTGACTACTGTACCTATATATAGGACAATATGAATATAGGAGAAACAAGGTGATTTATCAATATATGATAAATATAGCAAATATGAAACCTTATCTAGATAAAGAGTAATATCCTGCACAACATAATATTGCATTTTTTAAAATAAATATATACCATATAAATATATACCAACCTGTCATGTATCCTACTATATATACCATATAAATATATAACAACCTGTCGTGTATCCTACTATATATACCATATACATATATAACAACCTGTCGTGTATCCTACTATATATACCATATAAATATATAACAACCTGTCGTGTATCCTACTATATATACCATATACATATATAACAACCTGTCGTGTATCCTACTATATATACCATATACATATATACCAACCTGCTGTGTATCCTACTATATATACCATATACCTACTTGTCGTGTATCCTACTATATATACCATATAAATATATACCAACCTGTTGTGTATCCTACTATATATACCATATAAATATATACCAACTTTTCGTGTATCCTACTATATATACCATATACATATATACCAACCTGTCGTGTATCCTACTATATATACCATATACCTGTCGTGTATCCTACTATATATACCATATAAATATATACCAACTTGTCGTGTATCCTACTGTATATACCATACAAATATACCAACCTGTTGTGTATCCTACTCTATATACCATATAAATATACCAACCTGTCGTGTATCCTACTGTATACCATATAATTATATACCAACCTGTCGTGTATCCTACTGTATATACCATATACATATATACCAACCTGTCGTGTATCCTACAGTATATACCATATAAATATATACCAACCTGTCGTGTATCCTACTGTATATACCATATACATATATACCAACCTGTCGTGTATCCTACTGTATATACCATATACATATATACCAACCTGTTGTGTATCCTACTGTATATACCATATACATATATACCAACCTGTTGTGTATCCTACTGTAAAAACTATATAAATATATAACATATGAGCTGTACAAGCAGCCATGTTTTGATCAGTATCTTAGTGAACGATATTACTCATAGAGATTTTATTATTAACACGAGTACAAATATAGATGATATTACAATGTTTGCGACAAGGAAGGAAATGCAGAGTATGAACGATATTTCTCATAGAGCTTTTATTATAAACACTAGTACAGTTTACGACAAGGACGGAAATACAGAAAGTACTTGTTTCCAGTGTAAAGCTCACTGATTAAAATGATGTCTAATTTACAAATAAAGTAGAACTTGCTCGCTATGATTCAGTATGATGAAAGTAAAAGAAATATTTAAGAGAAAATAAACATTTTACCATTGGTACACGAATCGTGTACCATAATGCGTTTCAGCCCCAGTTCTAGCAAGAGACTCGAGGAACGAGGCTAGACATATTGCGCCAAACCAAATGTGAAAGAAATTAGTGCTAGATACACAAGATTAAATGATACCCGGGTTACAGTGCAAAATGACGTAGGTTTAAAGTAAATGACGTTATAGAAAAACAAACAATGACCATTATTCAAGAATATTTTCCGGCGTGGTTTCCCCTTGTCAGTGATGCAGGACGGAGGGCCTGACAAGGACAGCTGTCTAGTCGTTCGGATGGGATGAAAAACCGAGGTCCCGTGTACATATTGGCGTGCACGTAAAAGATCCCTTGGCAGTTGGAATTCGATAAAAGAGTAGGTCGTAACGCCGCTGCCCGGGCAAAATTCCCTCATAGCACACTGTATGGCGTATGCCCGTCTGCATTAGCCCAGTTTAGAGCAGAACATTAGGACGTTAAACCCCATTTCATTTCACTTAAGTGTTAGAGCAGTGGTTTTCAACCTTTTGTGCCAACGGCACACATTGGAGCACATAAAAACAAAAAACAAAAAAACCCAAAAAATAGCGACACACCTTTTATGAGAAATATCCTAGATCCACAAACACAAAACTGTGTACATAGTTTCTTATTGATGTATTTGATACATAACAACAACAAACGTTTTATAATGGGCTGTAATCTTAGTTAAAATAAGACAAACAATTTTGAGTAAATTCTTAGCTTAAGTCTGAGAATGCTTTGTGAACTCGGGGCCTGGCTAAATATATCTAAAAAATATTTGAATTTTGCAAAATAAAAACATGGCAAGTCAACCGAAGACAGAGACTAGTCATAGATATATAGAATGACTCAAACTAAATACAGAACTTATCAAAAGACACAAGCGAAAACTCAATTGGGATCACGTGGATTCTCGGATTTTCTGAATGTGCCGTTCAAAATTTCGCGGCACACTGGTTAAGAATCAGCCATTCACTTTATCTAATATACACGTTTGGTTTTTTTTTTAGTGTTTATGTACTATATGTCCCGTCCGTAGGTCTACATGTAGAAGTGTCTGTGTAGGCCTACTATATGTCCCGTCCGTAGGTTTGTCTCTTGTATTATGGTCTACGTGTAGAAGTGTCTGTGTACTATATGTCCCGTCCGTAGGTTTATCTCTTGTATTATGGTCCACATGTAGAAGTGTCTGTGTACGCCTACTATATGTCCAGTCCGTAGGTTTGTCTCTTGTGTTATGGTCTACATGTAGACGTGTATGTGTACAACATGTCCCGTCCGTAGGTTTATCTCTTGTATTATGGTCCACATGTAGAAGTGTCTGTGTACGCCTACTATATGTCCCGTCCGTAGGTTTGTCTCTTGTGTTATGGTCTACATGTAGAAGTGTATGTGTACAATATGTCCCGTCCGTAGGTTTGTCTCTTGTGTTATGGTCTACATGTAGATGTGTCTGTGTAGGCCCACTATATGTCCCGTCCGTAGGTTTGTCTCTTGTATGATGGTCCACATGTAGAAGTGTCTGTGTACGCCTACTATATGTCCCGTCCGTAGGTTTGTCTCTAGTGTTATTGTTTATATGGTGCGGATCTATTGTAATTTATCTTCAACAGTTGTTATAACTCAAACTTGAAACATGGCGACAAGTTATTCTGGTTTCCATAGCCTGATTGTTGCTTTAAACATGGGCTATACTATATACCGGAAAACACCGGGAAACTACCGGAAAACACCAGAAAACTACCGCAAATCACTACTGAATACCGGAAAATACCGGAAAAACACTAAATACCGGAAAACACACTATATACCGGAAAACACCCTAAATAGGTAACCCAGAGCCTGGTCCTCTGTTTGCGGTGTTTTCCAGAGGACCACCGGTGGATTAGGGTTAGGGTTAGGGTTAGGTTTTTCCGGTGTTTTCCAGAGGACCACCGGTGGATTAGGGTTAGGGTTAGGTTTTTCCGGTGTTTTCCAGAGGACTAGGTTCCGAGTTACCTATTTAGGGTGTTTTCCGGTATTCAGTATAACATAGTGTTTTCCGGTAGTTTTCCGTTAGTTTTCCGTTTTTTTTCCGATGTTTTCCGGTATATAGTATTGCCGTTAAACATCAACGAATAAATACTGTTGTTTATTTCAATAAAATAAAACCAAGTACGAACAATCCAAACCATTAGACAAAATTCGAAGTCCTAAAAAAACGGTATAGGCAAATAGTGTAATAAGGCAAAATAGTGTAATCAGCATATGGACTGTTCACCGTGTACAAAATACACGACAAACAGTGGTAACAGGTGTCCGGAAGATTAAGCTTACCCTGCCTGGCGCCACACCCGCCATAGCTGCATCCAAACTATTAGGCGAAATCTCGGTAAAATAGCGTGATTGGCCAATGAACTATCGGTATGCAAAATGCACGTGATGAACAGTGTTAACGATGTAGGAGACAGACATTATCAGGGAGAGAGTATACGCGTCAATTAAATATATCTAGAATAATAGCCGAGAGAGACATGTTATATTTACCAATCAAATCAATATGACGGCCATAAAACTTTTTAAAGGTTTTAATAAGTTTAGTTCGCAAGTATCCCTGTAGTTGAAGCTTAGATGACAAATGCCTCGATCTACTTAAAAAATCAGAATAAAATGAACAAGCTCTCGCGTAACGAATTAGTTGAGACACAAACACTCCATAAGCTGGTGATATTGGAATGTTACTACTAATAAATGAAAAGTTAACAATCGGAAAGTCAAAGTCATCACGTTTATCGTACAATTTAACACTAAGTTTATGGCAATTGTCAAAATCGAGACGCAAATCCAAGTAGGAAGCGTAATTGTCACTGTCAGTAGTGTTTTTAATTTCGAGCTCATCAGGATATATCAATTCTACATAATCACTAAATTTTGGATTATTCAGTGATAGAACATCATCGATATATCGATAAGTGAAATTAAAATGCCTGCCTAATCGTTTATTTGATTTTACAAGTGCCTGTATGTAATCGGCTTCGTAGGAATAGAGAAACAAATCAGCAAGCAAAGGTGCACAGTTGGTGCCCATGAGAGAGTATCAGAGATAACATCTTCCCTCTTGGCCCATGATCTGGCGTAGTCCTCTAGGGCATCCATAATATGTTTGAAATATTGATCCCATGAAAATGGTTGCGGTTCCCGGTATTTGGACAAAATCTCACGTAACTTATTATTCTGGACTATGTTTAAATCACCAGTGACTACATGTCCAGCTGGTTGGTAAATGAAGGACGACGTAGAGCAAGGAAAGGGTAGAGGGTCATCATATAATTCTTTTGCATTGATGTTAGATAATGCGTTTCTGTAATTAAATATTTTGGATGCACTGATATGTGTAATGTAATATTGTTTAGTTAAATACATGTAATATTATAAAGGTTATATATATAGACCGTGAAAGCTTGCTCATAACACGTGGGAAAATACCCATACAATCAGGGCCGGTACTAGCGTAGAGCAACGAGGGGGGGGGGGGGGCTGGAAGTGTTCTCAGGGGTGCTGTAAAATTGACGGACAATGTATATCTATTGTTTTTATCGTTGACAATTTTTGCGGGCAAAACTTTGCCCCCTCCCCCGCGCCCCCACCCCCCTAGTTACGGACCTGCATACAATATCCTCAAACAATATTAAACTTCCTTGTTGATTTCAAGTGTTAAAACCTTCCTACTAAGCGATCATGTATTTAGTGTATGATATATAACGTGAAAGTGTGTAACTGATTGTTTCCTGTTATTGTATGCTGTTTATAGATGAAATGAAATGAAATGAAATGGGGTTTAACGTCCTACTGTTCTGCTCCTAACCTGGGCTAATGAAGACGGGCATGAGGAAAATTTTGCCCGGGCACCGGCGCTACGGCCTACTCTTATATCGAATTCCAACTGCCAAGGGATCTTTTACGTGCACGCCAATGTGTACACAGGACCTCGGTTGTTTGTCCCATCCGAACGACTAGATGTTTAAATCAGTACTTTCATGAGAAAAGTTTCTCTGCCGTGTGCTTTATCCTTTATCGTCAGATATTGGACAGGGTGGGCACTCAAAGCACGGAGATAATGATATAGACATTATGTGATATGACAATTAATGCTCCGATCCATGAAATTGAATGACAAAGTCAATGTATTAATTCATAATAAAAATTGACATCAAACGAGGTGTTGAATTTCTCTGTTTAAAAAGCTCAATGTGTATGTATATACGCCAAAATGACCATAGAGACCATGCGTGGTGGTGGGGGGGGGGATACATTGTCTCAGGAACCTGGAAAACCCCCTCCTGCAAAAATTCCTGGATCCGCCCCTGTATTGGATACTTAGCTTACCGTTATAAATATACACAGACTACACATATGTCTATTATTCTATACTTAACTTAAACATATATTATGTAAGGGCTAAATCTGCCTATTGCAGGTCTTTATTTAGCGATTGAATTTTAGGCCTTGCCTCGATCATCATTAATAAAGTCGGTACTTCTCAGATACACCCCCCCCCCCCCCATGAGTTTTATGGAAGACCAAACAGCTCTTTATTCAGTGTTCTTAATTCTTAGTTCTTGATTCATAGTCCTTAATTCTTATTTCTTCATTTGTTGTCGTATTTCGACATTTGTACAATTTGTACACTAAAATTAATTTTTTGTATCTTAAAATCATTATTTGTTTTACAAATTAGACATTTGTCATGTCAGATTTCTAAAATGTATTTTTGTTTAATT